GAGCAGCAGGTTCAAATGGGTTAGCTCTGGAGATCTCTAAACATAGTAGTCTAGTTTATCAGTCAGATCGACTGAGATCATAATTAGAATATGGGAATTAGACATAATCCCATCTGACTGGTCTCGATCGTTCATTGTCCCAGTTTATAAGAAAGCACAGAAATCTCCCTAGTCGTGACCACAAAGGAATCTGTTTGAATAATATAACACCTAATATATTTTCCCCAATAACCAGGGCTCGTGAAGAGAGAGAATCGGGACAGTCAGACTCGGTTCAAACCTAGACGTGAACGTAACAACCAAATACCCACCCTTTGTCAAGTCCTGGAACATAAACATACTTCCCGACATCCGACTACAGTGTATTTCTTAACCTTAGACTTTAAGGCAGTTTTCGACCCTGTCGAATGTGAGGTTCTGTGGTAGTGTTTGTCATTAAAAGGCATACCAAACAAGTACATCAAACTTGTAGAGGTTCTTCACTTCAACACTATTGGTCAAGTTAAAGTTTATCGAGAACTGTCAACCTCAAGTAGTGTTCCTCAGGATTGTGCAGTTTCTCCACTCTTATTTAACTTCGTCATCGATATCCTTTTAAAAATAATACTCTCATAGTCTGACTTTTCAGAGGTCGGTCTTCTACCAGAAGATCCGCTTATTGATTTAGAATACCCAAGTGATATCGTGCTGTTTGGTAAAGACGCTGAAAAGATATTGAGACCACTGTTGCCTTAAGCAATAATGCGAGCATGTTTAAGACGCGATTCTCTCCCTATAAATCAAAATTGTTAATTCAAAACTGGGCTGCGTCAACCTCTGCATTAATGATAGGGAGTGAAGTAGCTGAGCATGTCGATCACTTATAATTTATCTTGGACGTCTCATCAGTCCTGATGAATAGGTATTTGATGAAACCACGACACGGAATCAAAAGGTTCGGTCGGCTTTTGTGTCACTCATGAAGTGGGTGAGATATTAGTCTGTCAATCAAAGGACGAGTTTACTAATCAACAATTCGCTTGGTTCTACTCTATGGGTGTCAAACATAGACAATAAGAACAGAGAATGTTCTCAGGTCACTATTATTCGATCATAGGTGAATCGATACACAGATCATACATTTTTGTCTGCCGAGTGAGCAATGCTGAAGTTACACATAGGATACTAAGTACAGATTGCCAAATCGATTGATCAGGAAGTGAATATTCATCGGCTGAGGTGGTTCGTATATGTCTCGCCTATGTCCAATCACCGCCTAAATCAACGAGCGATATTGTCCAGTATACAAGTAGACCAGGACAAAGCTAGGTGGGGCCAAGAGAAGCCATGTCACTAGCCCATGAAGCCATTGATAATTAGACTGATTCATATTAATCACTGTAGAATACCTATGTGTGGTCGCGTAATTATCGTAACCAATTGCAAGAGACTATGGATAACAAGCCTGAGAATGGTTCGCAATACCCCAGACACATTCACTCACTACCTTCCCTCAAAACATCATTGATGAATTAACACTTTCAATACCCAATCGCCTTTACAAATACAAAAAATGTTACTAAATCTACAACTCAACAATTTGTAGAAAAAAATATTAGTATCTAACACCAAATACCCAAAATCATATACTGCAAAAAAACGCAAACGCACGTCAAACATCAATAAACAAACAACCAAAATAACAGATAAACAAATACATACCTTCTGGCATCGCAACATCATCTTCATAACGGTAAGGGATCGGTGACAATGCCTGGAGAGAGGACACTGGTAGCTTCAACCAAACCATAACATCACTCGAAGCATGTTTTGCTCCATCTGAAGCAACAACTACAAAACCAACAATCAAACACAGCAAGCATAAACAACACGATACGTGGTGATAATATCACTGAAAGACGCATATACATATACATTTCTTTGTATATATATATATATATATATGCAATGCATACATACACACACCTATGTGCTCAAATGATAACCTCCATTTTCAATCTCAAATCAATCACACTCTCTAACACACAAATACACGTCGGACATCGATAAACAAACAACCACAACGACTGAAAAAAAACACATACCGTCTGGAATCGCAACATCATCTTCATAACGGTAAGGGATCGGTGACAATGCCTGGAGAGAGGACACTGGTAGCTTCAACATCTCGCTATTATCTCTCGAAACATTCTTCTCTTCATCTAAAACAACACCTACAAAGTTAACAATAAAACACAGTTAACAAAAATAAGGACATCAAAACAGTAACTGCTAAATGGATATGGTGGTTAGGCTTGCATATCGTGGTCACTTAATCGATTTATATGGGCTGTAATACTTGTTCGTTTAGGTATTATCATAACATGCAGGTCGGTTTGGAGAACGGTCAGTATGAAATTAGTAACCTCAGGTCTGAAGGAGAAGTCATACTGCTAATTGTACAGTCGTGTGATAACAGTAAAGTGTTTTCTTCAGAAAACCAGCATCTACGGCAATGATGCCTTCTCACAGCGAAGGGAAGAAATTAGGAAATATCGACTCTGAAATGATTTTACAACTTACACCACGGATTTACGTCTTCAGTGCCAAGGCCTTTGGAAGTAGGGAGCTAGGAGATCATAAACCTCTCATAAAAGGGTCATGTTTTACCGACCTCAAACTATTGTCCCTTAGCCTCCGTCACCACACTCCCACGTCTTCATGGCCAACAGGCTGCTCCAACTATGCTCACATAACCGTTCATTTCTAGCAAACATCAACTCCAATCATAAGGGAAGACATTGTCTGACACTGCGACACCCACAACCGAATGACTTATCAAGCGAACAGGTTTTAATAATCCGGCTGTTAGTGAGACTATCTCAAGACTATTATTCACTCTCAACCCATGAGATTAGACCGATATGCAGAACATTTTAGGCAACAGTTCAACTGACCTCCTGCTACCCTTCAGTTACCCACTATCGCCAAACAGCTTGAAAGGAAAATCGACATCAGCCCTCAAACTCTTAGTGAGGTTGAAAAATCTATAACTAATCTAAAGTGACACAGAGCAGCAGGTTCAAATGGGTTAGCTCTGGAGATCTCTAAACATAGTAGTCTAGTTTATCAGTCAGATCGACTGAGATCATAATTAGAATATGGGAATTAGACATAATCCCATCTGACTGGTCTCGATCGTTCATTGTCCCAGTTTATAAGAAAGCACAGAAATCTCCCTAGTCGTGACCACAAAGGAATCTGTTTGAATAATATAACACCTAATATATTTTCCCCAATAACCAGGGCTCGTGAAGAGAGAGAATCGGGACAGTCAGACTCGGTTCAAACCTAGACGTGAACGTAACAACCAAATACCCACCCTTTGTCAAGTCCTGGAACATAAACATACTTCCCGACATCCGACTACAGTGTATTTCTTAACCTTAGACTTTAAGGCAGTTTTCGACCCTGTCGAATGTGAGGTTCTGTGGTAGTGTTTGTCATTAAAAGGCATACCAAACAAGTACATCAAACTTGTAGAGGTTCTTCACTTCAACACTATTGGTCAAGTTAAAGTTTATCGAGAACTGTCAACCTCAAGTAGTGTTCCTCAGGATTGTGCAGTTTCTCCACTCTTATTTAACTTCGTCATCGATATCCTTTTAAAAATAATACTCTCATAGTCTGACTTTTCAGAGGTCGGTCTTCTACCAGAAGATCCGCTTATTGATTTAGAATACCCAAGTGATATCGTGCTGTTTGGTAAAGACGCTGAAAAGATATTGAGACCACTGTTGCCTTAAGCAATAATGCGAGCATGTTTAAGACGCGATTCTCTCCCTATAAATCAAAATTGTTAATTCAAAACTGGGCTGCGTCAACCTCTGCATTAATGATAGGGAGTGAAGTAGCTGAGCATGTCGATCACTTATAATTTATCTTGGACGTCTCATCAGTCCTGATGAATAGGTATTTGATGAAACCACGACACGGAATCAAAAAGTTCGGTCGGCTTTTGTGTCACTCATGAAGTGGGTGAGATATTAGTCTGTCAATCAAAGGACGAGTTTACTAATCAACAATTCGCTTGGTTCTACTCTATGGGTGTCAAACATAGACAATAAGAACAGAGAATGTTCTCAGGTCACTATTATTCGATCATAGGTGAATCGATACACAGATCATACATTTTTGTCTGCCGAGTGAGCAATGCTGAAGTTACACATAGGATACTAAGTACAGATTGCCAAATCGATTGATCAGGAAGTGAATATTCATCGGCTGAGGTGGTTCGTATATGTCTCGCCTATGTCCAATCACCGCCTAAATCAACGAGCGATATTGTCCAGTATACAAGTAGACCAGGACAAAGCTAGGTGGGGCCAAGAGAAGCCATGTCACTAGCCCATGAAGCCATTGATAATTAGACTGATTCATATTAATCACTGTAGAATACCTATGTGTGGTCGCGTAATTATCGTAACCAATTGCAAGAGACTATGGATAACAAGCCTGAGAATGGTTCGCAATACCCCAGACACATTCACTCACTACCTTCCCTCAAAACATCATTGATGAATTAACACTTTCAATACCCAATCGCCTTTACAAATACAAAAAATGTTACTAAATCTACAACTCAACAATTTGTAGAAAAAAATATTAGTATCTAACACCAAATACCCAAAATCATATACTGCAAAAAAACGCAAACGCACGTCAAACATCAATAAACAAACAACCAAAATAACAGATAAACAAATACATACCTTCTGGCATCGCAACATCATCTTCATAACGGTAAGGGATCGGTGACAATGCCTGGAGAGAGGACACTGGTAGCTTCAACATCCCCGAAGCATGTTTTGCTCCATCTGAAGCAACAACTACAAAACCAACAATCAAACACAGCAAGCATAAACAACACGATACGTGGTGATAATATCACTGAAAGACGCATATACATATACAGGACATCAATAAACAAACAACCACAACGACTGAAAAAAAACACATACCGTCTGGAATCGCAACATCATCTTCATAACGGTAAGGGATCGGTGACAATGCCTGGAGAGAGGACACTGGTAGCTTCAACATCTCGCTATTATCTCTCGAAACATTCTTCTCTTCATCTAAAACAACACCTACAAAGTTAACAATAAAACACAGTTAGCAAAAATAAGGACATCAAAACAGTAACTGCTAAATGGATATGGTGGTTAGGCTTGCATATCGTGGTCACTTAATCGATTTATATGGGCTGTAATACTTGTTCGTTTAGGTATTATCATAACATGCAGGTCGGTTTGGAGAACGGTCAGTATGAAATTAGTAACCTCAGGTCTGAAGGAGAAGTCATACTGCTAATTGTACAGTCGTGTGATAACAGTAAAGTGTTTTCTTCAGAAAACCAGCATCTACGGCAATGATGCCTTCTCACAGCGAAGGGAAGAAATTAGGAAATATCGACTCTGAAATGATTTTACAACTTACACCACGGATTTACGTCTTCAGTGCCAAGGCCTTTGGAAGTAGGGAGCTAGGAGATCATAAACCTCTCATAAAAGGGTCATGTTTTACCGACCTCAAACTATTGTCCCTTAGCCTCCGTCACCACACTCCCACGTCTTCATGGCCAACAGGCTGCTCCAACTATGCTCACATAACCGTTCATTTCTAGCAAACATCAACTCCAATCATAAGGGAAGACATTGTCTGACACTGCGACACCCACAACCGAATGACTTATCAAGCGAACAGGTTTTAATAATCCGGCTGTTAGTGAGACTATCTCAAGACTATTATTCACTCTCAACCCATGAGATTAGACCGATATGCAGAACATTTTAGGCAACAGTTCAACTGACCTCCTGCTACCCTTCAGTTACCCACTATCGCCAAACAGCTTGAAAGGAAAATCGACATCAGCCCTCAAACTCTTAGTGAGGTTGAAAAATCTATAACTAATCTAAAGTGACACAGAGCAGCAGGTTCAAATGGGTTAGCTCTGGAGATCTCTAAACATAGTAGTCTAGTTTATCAGTCAGATCGACTGAGATCATAATTAGAATATGGGAATTAGACATAATCCCATCTGACTGGTCTCGATCGTTCATTGTCCCAGTTTATAAGAAAGCACAGAAATCTCCCTAGTCGTGACCACAAAGGAATCTGTTTGAATAATATAACACCTAATATATTTTCCCCAATAACCAGGGCTCGTGAAGAGAGAGAATCGGGACAGTCAGACTCGGTTCAAACCTAGACGTGAACGTAACAACCAAATACCCACCCTTTGTCAAGTCCTGGAACATAAACATACTTCCCGACATCCGACTACAGTGTATTTCTTAACCTTAGACTTTAAGGCAGTTTTCGACCCTGTCGAATGTGAGGTTCTGTGGTAGTGTTTGTCATTAAAAGGCATACCAAACAAGTACATCAAACTTGTAGAGGTTCTTCACTTCAACACTATTGGTCAAGTTAAAGTTTATCGAGAACTGTCAACCTCAAGTAGTGTTCCTCAGGATTGTGCAGTTTCTCCACTCTTATTTAACTTCGTCATCGATATCCTTTTAAAAATAATACTCTCATAGTCTGACTTTTCAGAGGTCGGTCTTCTACCAGAAGATCCGCTTATTGATTTAGAATACCCAAGTGATATCGTGCTGTTTGGTAAAGACGCTGAAAAGATATTGAGACCACTGTTGCCTTAAGCAATAATGCGAGCATGTTTAAGACGCGATTCTCTCCCTATAAATCAAAATTGTTAATTCAAAACTGGGCTGCGTCAACCTCTGCATTAATGATAGGGAGTGAAGTAGCTGAGCATGTCGATCACTTATAATTTATCTTGGACGTCTCATCAGTCCTGATGAATAGGTATTTGATGAAACCACGACACGGAATCAAAAAGTTCGGTCGGCTTTTGTGTCACTCATGAAGTGGGTGAGATATTGGTCTGTCAATCAAAGGACGAGTTTACTAATCAACAATTCGCTTGGTTCTACTCTATGGGTGTCAAACATAGACAATAAGAACAGAGAATGTTCTCAGGTCACTATTATTCGATCATAGGTGAATCGATACACAGATCATACATTTTTGTCTGCCGAGTGAGCAATGCTGAAGTTACACATAGGATACTAAGTACAGATTGCCAAATCGATTGATCAGGAAGTGAATATTCATCGGCTGAGGTGGTTCGTATATGTCTCGCCTATGTCCAATCACCGCCTAAATCAACGAGCGATATTGTCCAGTATACAAGTAGACCAGGACAAAGCTAGGTGGGGCCAAGAGAAGCCATGTCACTAGCCCATGAAGCCATTGATAATTAGACTGATTCATATTAATCACTGTAGAATACCTATGTGTGGTCGCGTAATTATCGTAACCAATTGCAAGAGACTATGGATAACAAGCCTGAGAATGGTTCGCAATACCCCAGACACATTCACTCACTACCTTCCCTCAAAACATCATTGATGAATTAACACTTTCAATACCCAATCGCCTTTACAAATACAAAAAATGTTACTAAATCTACAACTCAACAATTTGTAGAAAAAAATATTAGTATCTAACACCAAATACCCAAAATCATATACTGCAAAAAAACGCAAACGCACGTCAAACATCAATAAACAAACAACCAAAATAACAGATAAACAAATACATACCTTCTGGCATCGCAACATCATCTTCATAACGGTAAGGGATCGGTGACAATGCCTGGAGAGAGGACACTGGTAGCTTCAACATCACCATAACATCACTCGAAGCATGTTTTGCTCCATCTGAAGCAACAACTACAAAACCAACAATCAAACACAGCAAGCATAAACAACACGATACGTGGTGATAATATCACTGAAAGACGCATATACATATACATTTCTTTGTTCATCCATATATATATATATATATATATATATATGCACATGCATACATACACACACCTATGTGCTCAAATGATAACCTCCATTTTCAATCTCAAATCAATCACACTCTCTAACACACAAATACACGTCGGACATCAATAAACAAACAACCACAACGACTGAAAAAAAACACATACCGTCTGGAATCGCAACATCATCTTCATAACGGTAAGGGATCGGTGACAATGCCTGGAGAGAGGACACTGGTAGCTTCAACATCTCGCTATTATCTCTCGAAACATTCTTCTCTTCATCTAAAACAACACCTACAAAGTTAACAATAAAACACAGTTAGCAAAAATAAGGACATCAAAACAGTAACTGCTAAATGGATATGGTGGTTAGGCTTGCATATCGTGGTCACTTAATCGATTTATATGGGCTGTAATACTTGTTCGTTTAGGTATTATCATAACATGCAGGTCGGTTTGGAGAACGGTCAGTATGAAATTAGTAACCTCAGGTCTGATGGCGATGTCAAAATTATCTAACGTGGCGAAGTGTTTTTTTGTTGATATCGAAACGTCGGTTCATGGATGTTTTTTATAAATACTGGCATTCCATGTTGGTTGTTAGTTTATTTATTTGTATTGGGTGACTACTTTACTGGGGAGATTTTACGTCGTCTCGAATGTACTGTAAATTTTGCTAAAATGTTACTTTGTGGTTACGGAATGCTGTTCGAATTTTTTCATTTAATTGTAGCAGCTATGTATCGTCAACGTCTTTCGACGTTTTGTCTGTTCAATTTCTTACTGTACGAAACTATGTAAAGGAAACGGAACTACTCCGTTTTTGTTCTACAATGATTGATGATAGTAGTTCCTTGTCTGAAGGATTTTCTCTGCCTTTTAATTAACGTAGCACGCTGCTTACAGTAAATATTTAACGTACGTCTGAGTGTTGTATTATTAGTGTTTGTGTGCTTACCTTAAAATCAATATTTTACTTCTTTTAAATCTTTCAAAAATATTTATTAAGTTCTACATTTTTTGAACTTTGACTCTTGAGTTTAGAAGACTTTCATAGCAACCATTGGAAATTTTCGAGATTTAATGACATGATACTTTTAAAGATTTCTGATATATTTAAAAATGTGACTTTTTACTAATTTTTAATCACTTACTATTTTTTCGACGCTTCTTCACTAATGGCCCGGAATCAACAATATCATCTTCTTCTGATTCAAGGAAACAATCTGTGATGACTATGCTAACTGGTTTGATTAAGGGTAAAACAGAATCCACAGTCTCCGGATACAATTTACTATCACTTGAAGCACGAGAATATGTCAGTTGACTCAGCTGGAAAGTAATAATCAATATTTTAATAATCAAAAATATTAAATGACAGACAGCTTGTTTTATTGCTAGCAGCATAAACTATGTCATTCTTCGTGGAGTAGTAACGTCCATAAGTAGAAAATCATATGCGTTTCTACAAATACCAAGGCTAAAACGTTTACTTCTATTCTAGACAAAATTGGTATTAGTTGGGAAACCACTAAAAACTAGGAAGCACTAGACGGATGTGTTAATTTAGTACAAGACTCCTTATCAGAGCCCATAACACGACCCCAACGAAGAAAGATAGCTGTCAATATCGCGTATTGACGAGTAAATAAATGGATGATGGTCAAAGAGACCTGAAGGTCCAAAGCTCGATTCCCGGAGGAGGGTCGTGGATGTTTTTCTTCTGTTATACACCAAATTATTAATTACCTAAAACCACTTTTATTTTACATTGATCAATTCTCTTTTCTTTTTCTACTTTAATTCAATTGACTCTTTTTGTCTAGATTGCGCTTTAATCAAATTTTCATGTTCAATTTATCTTATCATCTCATGTAACTAACTTTTCTAACTATCAGTTTTGTTAGATATTTTAATCAGAATTTTGTCTTAGTCTTTGGTTAAAAATAAGTATTTTTACAACTTTGAGAATGAATTCATGAAAAGTTATTTCACACAAATCTCTTCGTTAAATCATTGCCTACTGTATCAAAATTCTAAACAATAAAAAATAACAAGTATCACAGGGTAACTAATAAAAAACGATAACAAATTAAGAATATCACTAACTCGAGTTTTACTTGAAATTCGATGCGCTTCTGATTTATAATCGTCCTCGAATTCATTTACTTAACAAAAAGTAAAATAATTAATAGTGAGAATAATAATAACAGTAGCAATGATAATAATAATAATAATGAGGAAAGTACTTATCAGTGTATCTTTAATATAACATCAATGAAAGTATACTAATCAAAATTGAGAGATCATTGATTGATTGTATGACAATGACAGCATATAATAATCTGTAATATATTTTACCGAATACAAGACTACATTTTCGGTTTTGAGAAACACTGTTTTTTTGAAGGCATTTCAAATTGAAGTAGAAGTGAGATATAAACCTGGATAGTTGAACCCCTTACCACTACACCACCGTCTCATATATTCTCATGAAATATTATCCTATATCATTCTTGAGCTATTTGAGTAATAATTGGTAAACATATTATTTATGAAAATCGTATCTAATTATGTTTGAAGATAAATTTATGTCACGAAATGAAATCAACCTCAGAATCAACATGAAAGGCTTAAATAAAACATTAACACTTCAGGCTTTTGATCGATGAAGTATTAGTTACTCAATTTCAGATTTTCATTTATACGCGATTCAATAAATAATAAGGATTTTTCAACCAGTATTATTGAATAATGATGTAAACTTGCAACGGAATACACTATCTTAATACCACAAACATGTTGACAAAATATTCCATTATCTCAACAAAACTATTTATCAGTTAGTTTACCAAACAGATAAGTTACATTATTAAAAGTTTTTCTAAGTATCGTTTCTTTAATAAGTGTAAAGTGAGAATAAATTACACTAATTATAAGAACAAAAATCAGAATAATAACAGTACCCTTTGATAAAAGAAACAGTTACATAATATGAACATAATATGAATATAACCACTAACATATCATAGAAAGTTTATTTGATGTGGAAAAATAGGGAAAAAAATTTTATAAACTAACAATGATTGAAAGAAAGACATGAAAAGTACACAGCAATAAGAGAAAGTCAATGGATTTCACCGAAGAAGTAACGAGAAAAGTCAACTTACATGATATTAAGGCAGAAATCCTATCTTGTTCCCCAAGAAGACGACGCTTTTCACTCGTAGTACCCTATAAAGTAACATTTTTTCCAATATTTGAAATGATTATTTTTATAAACAGTAAAAAAAATTATTTGAGAAAAAGGGGACACGTTTTCTGTTATATGATATAGCTAATTCGTAAAATCAGACATGTATAATCCACTTCAATTCTAAATGGATAAGAGGCAGCAGTCTAATGCTACTGACGATAACTAAATACTGAACAAACTACTATAGAAAAGCATACATATAATAGTAAAAATGAGCGCTTCCACTAAAATGTAAAAACTACAAAGAAATATGACTAACATCCTAGTAATTTTACATATTCGAATAATTAATGATATGATATACATACATTTCAATTATTTCAGTAGAATGATGATGGGAAAAAGTGCTCGAATACGTTTATTTCAACAGTTTGTCAATAAGCAGAATAACTACACATCATCACAACCCATAATTTCGTTTATTGAACAAGAACAAATTTCTGTACTTGCTATTAGGATGAAACGGCAGGTTTAGTGGTTAAGTTGTTTGACTTTTTAACAATTCACCTACTTCGTTTGTAACAACTGGCAAGTACTATCAGCAGTCTTATGTAGAAAGTGACCCAAAGTAAAATGTCAAGTGAACAAATTAAGTAAAAACTTAACTTTTTTAAATAAAATGCAATAATAATTCACCTTTACAGAGCACAGTTGTTGTACAGTCGATATAGATTGTGGAAAGGTACTGGATAAAGCAGTAACATTTATAGGAAGAGAAGGAAGATTAAAATTTACCGTCTTATTTTCAGAAAACGATGGACCTGAAGTAAAAGTCAATAATAAACATAATTTCATACATAACAATCGACCAAAAACAAAACCATAAAACTGATAGAGCATAAACAGGATGAATTCATTTCAAAGTGTTCTCATCCGCTGGTTAAAACCTAAAATATTAAAAATCACTATTATTGCAAAGTTTACATAGTAATAACTGTAAAATTGGATATATATTATCATGGTGAGGTAGTGAGACTGATGACATATAATGAGTGGTGCAAATTAATCTAATATATATGAGAGATTCTGGATCATCAGATATAGTAACACGACACCATAGAGATAAAATAATGAATTGATTGTATGGTAAAGTAATTGAATAGAGAAAGGGAATAAAATCAGTAAAGATTTCTAGTTTCCACTTTGCAACACCCGTTACATGTCATCAGTCTCACTACCTCACCATAATAATATATACCAAATTTAACAGTTATTACTATGTACAATTTGCAATAATACAGATTTTTAATATTTTGGGATTTAAGCAGCGGATGAGAACCTTAAAAAATAAACTGAATGCATATTATTCAATTTAACAGTTAGTAAGCGATAAACATCATATAAAAAACAAAAAAGAAGAAAAGAAGAGATACTAACAATCATACGACAATAGAAATAACGATGAGCCTACCACAAAAAATCAGAAGTATACCTAACATACCTAACATACAAGAATATGTAAACAGAAACAAACCAGGGAGTACAGAAAAAGCAAAGAAACAAACATCATCCATCCGGGCTGGCTCCTTAATTTTTTTTATTTTAACTTTAAAACTTTAATAAAAAAGTGAAAAATTTTTAAATCATTCGCCAAAAAGAATTAATTTGCGCTGAGAATTCTATAATGTACCAAAATTACAATATTGAATAAAGCTAATAATAATAATCATAATAATAATAAGAAGAACGAAAAGAATACAAAACACAAACGCAGAAAATCTAACATAACAAAACATGCATTAAAAAATCTAGAGAATCACAACAAAAAAAGCAACACAACCATCAAAACACACAAAAGATTTTAAACAAACTGTAATATACTCAAACAAACCACAGTCAATAAATTTCGGATCCATCGCCGTCAACACGCACACAGCTTTAGATTCACCCACTGTCAAAACAGAACACCCTGAAACGGTGCTCGCATCTCCGTTCACTGATCCTAAAACAATACAACCCATAATCAATATCAATAAAACAAGTCGTTCCTAACAAATAACACTCAACTGAACATCTACGAAAATATATCAAAATTACCTTTCTCAACTATGGGCTCTGCCAACACAGACTCGCTCAATCTCAATGGGGAAAACGATTCTGAAAGTATACAAAAACAATTACACAAAATGTTAAATGCTCATCATCACATCGATAACAAACACTCCACTGTCACATTCACAGTAACATTGAATATAATCATCAACGCAAGCACCAATATGACAAGCGAAACACAACACACACATTATCACATAGACAAATATCCTAAACAAAACAAATATCAACCTTCTTATTCAACCCTCCACCACATAAACACTGACTACTCACATCCACCAACCACATAGAAACTCAATATCACACTTACCACCACTCCCCACATTCCCTCTGACCGTGCCTCTTCTCCCACGCCGTCTACCCACCATCATCTACAATAGAAACAACAACAACAGAAACAATATTATTCGTAATCATAATCATAGCCACACCAACAACATGTACAACGCACTAGCTTCCCTCATACACCACCACCACCACCACCACCACCACCACCACTACCATCAACGGAAATACAACAGAAACACACAACTATTCCCATATAAATTGAATACTGAAAGCTTCACTAAAACCAAACTCACCGGGACAACCGCACCCACAGGCTCCACTGTTCCACCTGAAATTAAAAACACACAAGTTAATACTCTACAAATATTCAACAAAACACAATATTACACTTTCACCAAAACCACAGTGGTTCACCTCATCCAATATAGCAGTGCTCCACGTCGCCACACACATTCACTTCACGTACCACTTACTTACTTACTTACTCACTCACTCACTCACTCAATCACTCACCACCACCACAACTCACACAATAAAAACACACAAATTAAACCCGATCAACATAATTACACTCACCGTTCCATGCAATTACATACAACCATGAATCTATCTGCTTAACGATCTAACACTACAAAGTCACAATTGTCGTAACTCGGACCGGTCACTCAATTCAATCATGTACATCATAACGGAAATTCTTACCCAATCTAGCTGTTCTCTCATCGGAAAACAACACACTCGTCTTCGCACATCACTAAACACTTATCACAACTACAAAACATCGTAGCTACCACTCTACAAATCAACTCGTCAAACAAACAAACAAACACACACAACAACAACACACAAAATATCTCCATGTGACCAAACAAATACTCAAAAGCAACATAACTATCACAATACCCAACACAACATCAATACTCATGAATCACGTCCCACACTAACAACAACAACAACAACAACAACCCACACTACCAAACGATTTGACAACAAATAAAGTGTCAAAAATCAACAATTACCTCTGTCAGGAGAACTGATCGATCGAGAAGAAACTAGTGAATTCAAATCGCCATTCATTGACATCGATTTCTCTGAAAAAAATTCACCGATTAACAAACACACATCAGTTGAGTCTGATACTATCACGTCGAAACAATGAAAGGTTACTAAGGAAAGTTTCGGATGCACATTTTCTACAAATAGCATCCAAAACATAAATATACAACTTCAACTCCCAACACAAACACACCAAACTCATCAAAACCAATATGTACACTTCTGCACAACCACATAAAACTCCATACATGTTTCAATGCACTCACCTTCTTCATCACCCTCCGTCAATTTCGGATCCATCGCCGTCAACACGCACACAGCTTTAGATTCACCCACTGTCAAAACAGAACACCCTGAAACGGTGCTCGCATCTCCGTTCACTGATCCTAAAACAATACAACCCATAATCAATATCAATAAAACAACTCGTTCCTAACAAATAACACTCAACTGAACATCTACGAAAATATCTCAAAATTACCTTTCTCAACTATGGGCTCTGCCAACACAGACTCGCTCAATCTCAATGGGGAAAACGATTCTGAAAGTATACAAAAACAATTACACAAAATGTTAAATGCTCATCATCACATCGATAACAAACACTCCACTGTCACATTCACAGTAGCATTGAATATAATCATCAACGCAAGCACCAATATGACAAGCGAAACACAACACACACATTATCACATAGACAAATATCCTAAACAAAACAAATATCAACCTTCTTATTCAACCCTCCACCACATAAACACTGACTACTCACATCCACCAACCACATAGAAACTCAATATCACACTTACCACCACTCCCCACATTCCCTCTGACCGTGCCTCTTCTCCCACGCCGTCTACCCACCATCATCTACAATAGAAACAACAACAACAGAAACAATATTATTCGTAATCATAATCATAGCCACACCAACAACATGTACAACGCACTAGCTTCCCTCATACACCACCACCACCACCACCACCACCACCACCACCACTACCATCAACGGAAATACAACAGAAACACACAACTATTCCCATATAAATTGAATACTGAAAGCTTCACTAAAACCAAACTCACCGGGACAACCGCACCCACAGGCTCCACTGTTCCACCTGAAATTAAAAACACACAAGTTAATACTCTACAAATATTCAACAAAACACAATATTACACTTTCACCAAAACCACAGTGGTTCACCTCATCCAATATAGCAGTGCTCCACGTCGCCACACACATTCACTTCACGTACCACTTACTTACTTACTTACTCACTCACTCACTCAATCAATCAATCAATCAATCACTCACCACCACCACAACTCACACAATAAAAACACACAAATTAAACCCGATCAACATAATTACACTCACCGTTCCATGCAATTACATACAACCATGAATCTATCTGCTTAACGATCTAACACTACAAAGTCACAATTGTCGTAACTCGGACCGGTCACTCAATTCAATCATGTACATCATAACGGAAATTCTTACCCAATCTAGCTGTTCTCTCATCGGAAAACAACACACTCGTCTTCGCACATCACTAAACACTTATCACAACTACAAAACATCGTAGCTACCACTCTACAAATCAACTCGTCAAACAAACAAACAAACAAACAAACACACACACACACAAACACACAAAATATCTCCATGTGACCAAACAAATACTCAAAAGCAACATAACTATCACAATACCCAACACAACATCAATACTCATGAATCACGTCCCACACTAACAACAACAACAACAACAACAACCCACACTACCAAACGATTTGACAACAAATAAAGTGTCAAAAATCAACAATTACCTCTGTCAGGAGAACTGATCGATCGAGAAGAAACTAGTGAATTCAAATCGCCATTCATTGACATCGATTTCTCTGAAAAAAATTCACCGATTAACAAACACACATCAGTTGAGTCTGATACTATCACGTCGAAACAATGAAAGGTTACTAAGGAAAGTTTCGGATGCACATTTTCTACAAATAGCATCCAAAACATAAATATACAACTTCAACTCCCAACACAAACACACCAAACTCATCAAAACCAATATGTACACTTCTGCACAACCACATAAAACTCCATACATGTTTCAATGCACTCACCTTCTTCATCACCCTCCGTCAATTTCGGATCCATCGCCGTCAACACGCACACAGCTTTAGATTCACCCACTGTCAAAACAGAACACCCTGAAACGGTGCTCGCATCTCCGTTCACTGATCCTAAAACAATACAACCCATAATCAATATCAATAAAACAACTCGTTCCTAACAAATAACACTCAACTGAACATCTACGAAAATATCTCAAAATTACCTTTCTCAACTATGGGCTCTGCCAACACAGACTCGCTCAATCTCAATGGGGAAAACGATTCTGAAAGTATACAAAAACAATTACACAAAATGTTAAATGCTCATCATCACATCGATAACAAACACTCCACTGTCACATTCACAGTAGCATTGAATATAATCATCAACGCAAGCACCAATATGACAAGCGAAACACAACACACACATTATCACATAGACAAATATCCTAAACAAAACAAATATCAACCTTCTTATTCAACCCTCCACCACATAAACACTGACTACTCACATCCACCAACCACATAGAAACTCAATATCACACTTACCACCACTCCCCACATTCCCTCTGACCGTGCCTCTTCTCCCACGCCGTCTACCCACCATCATCTACAATAGAAACAACAACAACAGAAACAATATTATTCGTAATCATAATCATAGCCACACCAACAACATGTACAACGCACTAGCTTCCCTCATACACCACCACCACCACCACCACCACCACCACCACCACTACCATCAACGGAAATACAACAGAAACACACAACTATTCCCATATAAATTGAATACTGAAAGCTTCACTAAAACCAAACTCACCGGGACAACCGCACCCACAGGCTCCACTGTTCCACCTGAAATTAAAAACACACAAGTTAATACTCTACAAATATTCAACAAAACACAATATTACACTTTCACCAAAACCACAGTGGTTCACCTCATCCAATATAGCAGTGCTCCACGTCGCCACACACATTCACTTCACGTACCACTTACTTACTTACTTACTCACTCACTCACTCACTCAATCAATCAATCAATCACTCACCACCACCACAACTCACACAATAAAAACACACAAATTAAACCCGATCAACATAATTACACTCACCGTTCCATGCAATTACATACAACCATGAATCTATCTGCTTAACGATCTAACACTACAAAGTCACAATTGTCGTAACTCGGACCGGTCACTCAATTCAATCATGTACATCATAACGGAAATTCTTACCCAATCTAGCTGTTCTCTCGTCGGAAAACAACACACTCGTCTTCGCACATCACTAAACACTTATCACAACTACAAAACATCGTAACTACCACTCTACAAATCAACTCGTCAAACAAACAAACAAACACACACTAACACACAAAATATCTCTATGTGACCAAACAAATACTCAAAAGCAACATAACTATCACAATACCCAACACAACATCAATACTCATGAATCACGTCCCACACTAACAACAACAACAACAACAACAACCCCACACTACCAAACGATTTGACAACAAATAAAGTGTCAAAAATCAACAATTACCTCTGTCAGGAGAACTGATCGATCGAGAAGAAACTAGTGAATTCAAATCGCCATTCATTGACATCGATTTCTCTGAAAAAAATTCACCGATTAACAAACACACATCAGTTGAGTCTGATACTATCACGTCGAAACAATGAAAGGTTACTAAGGAAAGTTTCGGATGCACATTTTCTACAAATAGCATCCAAAACATAAATATACAACTTCAACTCCCAACACAAACACACCAAACTCATCAAAACCAATATGTACACTTCTGCACAACCACATAAAACTCCATACATGTTTCAATGCACTCACCTTCTTCATCACCCTCCGTCAATTTCGGATCCATCGCCGTCAACATGCACACAGCTTTAGATTCACCCACTGTCAAAACAGAACACCCTGAAACGGTGCTCGCATCTCCGTTCACTGATCCTAAAACAATACAACCCATAATCAATATCAATAAAACAAGTCGTTCCTAACAAATAACACTCAACTGAACATCTACGAAAATATCTCAAAATTACCTTTCTCAACTATGGGCTCTGCCAACACAGACTCGCTCAATCTCAATGGGGAAAACGATTCTGAAAGTATACAAAAACAATTACACAAAATGTTAAATGCTCATCATCACATCGATAACAAACACTCCACTGTCACATTCACAGTAACATTGAATATAATCATCAACGCAAGCACCAATATGACAAGCGAAACACAACACACACATTATCACATAGACAAATATCCTAAACAAAACAAATATCAACCTTCTTATTCAACCCTCCACCACATAAACACTGACTACTCACATCCACCAACCACATAGAAACTCAATATCACACTTACCACCACTCCCCACATTCCCTCTGACCGTGCCTCTTCTCCCACGCCGTCTACCCACCATCATCTACAATAGAAACAACAACAACAGAAACAATATTATTCGTAATCATAATCATAGCCACACCAACAACATGTACAACGCACTAGCTTCCCTCATACACCACCACCACCACCACCACCACTACCATCAACGGAAATACAACAGAAACACACAACTATTCCCATATAAATTGAATACTGAAAGCTTCACTAAAACCAAACTCACCGGGACAACCGCACCCACAGGCTCCACTGTTCCACCTGAAATTAAAAACACACAAGTTAATACTCTACAAATATTCAACAAAACACAATATTACACTTTCACCAAAACCACAGTGGTTCACCTCATCCAATATAGCAGTGCTCCACGTCGCCACACACATTCACTTCACGTACCACTTACTTACTTACTCACTCACTCACTCACTCACTCAACAATCAATCAATCACCACCACCACAACTCACACAATAAAAACACACAAATTAAACCCGATCAACATAATTACACTCACCGTTCCATGCAATTACATACAACCATGAATCTATCTGCTTAACGATCTAACACTACAAAGTCACAATTGTCGTAACTCGGACCGGTCACTCAATTCAATCATGTACATCATAACGGAAATTCTTACCCAATCTAGCTGTTCTCTCGTCGGAAAACAACACACTCGTCTTCGCACATCACTAAACACTTATCACAACTACAAAACATCGTAGCTACCACTCTACAAATCAACTCGTCAAACAAACAAACAAACACACACAACAACAACACACAAAATATCTCCATGTGACCAAACAAATACTCAAAAGCAACATAACTATCACAATACCCAACACAACATCAATACTCATGAATCACGTCCCACACTAACAACAACAACAACAACAACAACCCACACTACCAAACGATTTGACAACAAATAAAGTGTCAAAAATCAACAATTACCTCTGTCAGGAGAACTGATCGATCGAGAAGAAACTAGTGAATTCAAATCGCCATTCATTGACATCGATTTCTCTGAAAAAAATTCACCGATTAACAAACACACATCAGTTGAGTCTGATACTATCACGTCGAAACAATGAAAGGTTACTAAGGAAAGTTTCGGATGCACATTTTCTACAAATAGCATCCAAAACATAAATATACAACTTCAACTCCCAACACAAACACACCAAACTCATCAAAACCAATATGTACACTTCTGCACAACCACATAAAACTCCATACATGTTTCAATGCACTCACCTTCTTCATCACCCTCCGTCAATTTCGGATCCATCGCCGTCAACATGCACACAGCTTTAGATTCACCCACTGTCAAAACAGAACACCCTGAAACGGTGCTCGCATCTCCGTTCACTGATCCTAAAACAATACAACCCATAATCAATATCAATAAAACAAGTCGTTCCTAACAAATAACACTCAACTGAACATCTACGAAAATATCTCAAAATTACCTTTCTCAACTATGGGCTCTGCCAACACAGACTCGCTCAATCTCAATGGGGAAAACGATTCTGAAAGTATACAAAAACAATTACACAAAATGTTAAATGCTCATCATCACATCGATAACAAACACTCCACTGTCACATTCACAGTAACATTGAATATAATCATCAACGCAAGCACCAATATGACAAGCGAAACACAACACACACATTATCACATAGACAAATATCCTAAACAAAACAAATATCAACCTTCTTATTCAACCCTCCACCACATAAACACTGACTACTCACATCCACCAACCACATAGAAACTCAATATCACACTTACCACCACTCCCCACATTCCCTCTGACCGTGCCTCTTCTCCCACGCCGTCTACCCACCATCATCTACAATAGAAACAACAACAACAGAAACAATATTATTCGTAATCATAATCATAGCCACACCAACAACATGTACAACGCACTAGCTTCCCTCATACACCACCACCACCACCACCACCACCACCACCACCACTACCATCAACGGAAATACAACAGAAACACACAACTATTCCCATATAAATTGAATACTGAAAGCTTCACTAAAACCAAACTCACCGGGACAACCGCACCCACAGGCTCCACTGTTCCACCTGAAATTAAAAACACACAAGTTAATACTCTACAAATATTCAACAAAACACAATATTACACTTTCACCAAAACCACAGTGGTTCACCTCATCCAATATAGCAGTGCTCCACGTCGCCACACACATTCACTTCACGTACCACTTACTTACTTACTTACTTACTCACTCACTCACTCAATCAATCAATCAATCAATCAATCAATCACTCACCACCACCACAACTCACACAATAAAAACACACAAATTAAACCCGATCAACATAATTACACTCACCGTTCCATGCAATTACATACAACCATGAATCTATCTGCTTAACGATCTAACACTACAAAGTCACAATTGTCGTAACTCGGACCGGTCACTCAATTCAATCATGTACATCATAACGGAAATTCTTACCCAATCTAGCTGTTCTCTCATCGGAAAACAACACACTCGTCTTCGCACATCACTAAACACTTATCACAACTACAAAACATCGTAGCTACCACTCTACAAATCAACTCGTCAAACAAACAAACAAACACACACAACAACAACACACAAAATATCTCCATGTGACCAAACAAATACTCAAAAGCAACATAACTATCACAATACCCAACACAACATCAATACTCATGAATCACGTCCCACACTAACAACAACAACAACAACAACAACCCACACTACCAAACGATTTGACAACAAATAAAGTGTCAAAAATCAACAATTACCTCTGTCAGGAGAACTGATCGATCGAGAAGAAACTAGTGAATTCAAATCGCCATTCATTGACATCGATTTCTCTGAAAAAAATTCACCGATTAACAAACACACATCAGTTGAGTCTGATACTATCACGTCGAAACAATGAAAGGTTACTAAGGAAAGTTTCGGATGCACATTTTCTACAAATAGCATCCAAAACATAAATATACAACTTCAACTCCCAACACAAACACACCAAACTCATCAAAACCAATATGTACACTTCTGCACAACCACATAAAACTCCATACATGTTTCAATGCACTCACCTTCTTCATCACCCTCCGTCAATTTCGGATCCATCGCCGTCAACATGCACACAGCTTTAGATTCACCCACTGTCAAAACAGAACACCCTGAAACGGTGCTCGCATCTCCGTTCACTGATCCTAAAACAATACAACCCATAATCAATATCAATAAAACAAGTCGTTCCTAACAAATAACACTCAACTGAACATCTACGAAAATATCTCAAAATTACCTTTCTCAACTATGGGCTCTGCCAACACAGACTCGCTCAATCTCAATGGGGAAAACGATTCTGAAAGTATACAAAAACAATTACACAAAATGTTAAATGCTCATCATCACATCGATAACAAACACTCCACTGTCACATTCACAGTAGCATTGAATATAATCATCAACGCAAGCACCAATATGACAAGCGAAACACAACACACACATTATCACATAGACAAATATCCTAAACAAAACAAATATCAACCTTCTTATTCAACCCTCCACCACATAAACACTGACTACTCACATCCACCAACCACATAGAAACTCAATATCACACTTACCACCACTCCCCACATTCCCTCTGACCGTGCCTCTTCTCCCACGCCGTCTACCCACCATCATCTACAATAGAAACAACAACAACAGAAACAATATTATTCGTAATCATAATCATAGCCACACCAACAACATGTACAACGCACTAGCTTCCCTCATACACCACCACCACCACCACCACCACCACCACCACCACTACCATCAACGGAAATACAACAGAAACACACAACTATTCCCATATAAATTGAATACTGAAAGCTTCACTAAAACCAAACTCACCGGGACAACCGCACCCACAGGCTCCACTGTTCCACCTGAAATTAAAAACACACAAGTTAATACTCTACAAATATTCAACAAAACACAATATTACACTTTCACCAAAACCACAGTGGTTCACCTCATCCAATATAGCAGTGCTCCACGTCGCCACACACATTCACTTCACGTACCACTTACTTACTTACTCACTCACTCACTCACTCACCACCACAACTCACACAATAAAAACACACAAATTAAACCCGATCAACATAATTACACTCACCGTTCCATGCAATTACATACAACCATGAATCTATCTGCTTAACGATCTAACACTACAAAGTCACAATTGTCGTAACTCGGACCGGTCACTCAATTCAATCATGTACATCATAACGGAAATTCTTACCCAATCTAGCTGTTCTCTCGTCGGAAAACAACACACTCGTCTTCGCACATCACTAAACACTTATCACAACTACAAAACATCGTAGCTACCACTCTACAAATCAACTCGTCAAACAAACAAACAAACAAACAAACACACACACACACAAACACACAAAATATCTCCATGTGACCAAACAAATACTCAAAAGCAACATAACTATCACAATACCCAACACAACATCAATACTCATGAATCACGTCCCACACTAACAACAACAACAACAACAACAACCCACACTACCAAACGATTTGACAACAAATAAAGTGTCAAAAATCAACAATTACCTCTGTCAGGAGAACTGATCGATCGAGAAGAAACTAGTGAATTCAAATCGCCATTCATTGACATCGATTTCTCTGAAAAAAATTCACCGATTAACAAACACACATCAGTTGAGTCTGATACTATCACGTCGAAACAATGAAAGGTTACTAAGGAAAGTTTCGGATGCACATTTTCTACAAATAGCATCCAAAACATAAATATACAACTTCAACTCCCAACACAAACACACCAAACTCATCAAAACCAATATGTACACTTCTGCACAACCACATAAAACTCCATACATGTTTCAATGCACTCACCTTCTTCATCACCCTCCGTCAATTTCGGATCCATCGCCGTCAACATGCACACAGCTTTAGATTCACCCACTGTCAAAACAGAACACCCTGAAACGGTGCTCGCATCTCCGTTCACTGATCCTAAAACAATACAACCCATAATCAATATCAATAAAACAAGTCGTTCCTAACAAATAACACTCAACTGAACATCTACGAAAATATATCAAAATTACCTTTCTCAACTATGGGCTCTGCCAACACAGACTCGCTCAATCTCAATGGGGAAAACGATTCTGAAAGTATACAAAAACAATTACACAAAATGTTAAATGCTCATCATCACATCGATAACAAACACTCCACTGTCACATTCACAGTAACATTGAATATAATCATCAACGCAAGCACCAATATGACAAGCGAAACACAACACACACATTATCACATAGACAAATATCCTAAACAAAACAAATATCAACCTTCTTATTCAACCCTCCACCACATAAACACTGACTACTCACATCCACCAACCACATAGAAACTCAATATCACACTTACCACCACTCCCCACATTCCCTCTGACCGTGCCTCTTCTCCCACGCCGTCTACCCACCATCATCTACAATAGAAACAACAACAACAGAAACAATATTATTCGTAATCATAATCATAGCCACACCAACAACATGTACAACGCACTAGCTTCCCTCATACACCACCACCACCACCACCACCACCACTACCATCAACGGAAATACAACAGAAACACACAACTATTCCCATATAAATTGAATACTGAAAGCTTCACTAAAACCAAACTCACCGGGACAACCGCACCCACAGGCTCCACTGTTCCACCTGAAATTAAAAACACACAAGTTAATACTCTACAAATATTCAACAAAACACAATATTACACTTTCACCAAAACCACAGTGGTTCACCTCATCCAATATAGCAGTGCTCCACGTCGCCACACACATTCACTTCACGTACCACTTACTTACTTACTTACTCACTCACTCACTCAATCAATCAATCACTCACCACCACCACAACTCACACAATAAAAACACACAAATTAAACCCGATCAACATAATTACACTCACCGTTCCATGCAATTACATACAACCATGAATCTATCTGCTTAACGATCTAACACTACAAAGTCACAATTGTCGTAACTCGGACCGGTCACTCAATTCAATCATGTACATCATAACGGAAATTCTTACCCAATCTAGCTGTTCTCTCGTCGGAAAACAACACACTCGTCTTCGCACATCACTAAACACTTATCACAACTACAAAACATCGTAGCTACCACTCTACAAATCAACTCGTCAAACAAACAAACAAACAAACAAACACACACACACACAAACACACAAAATATCTCCATGTGACCAAACAAATACTCAAAAGCAACATAACTATCACAATACCCAACACAACATCAATACTCATGAATCACGTCCCACACTAACAACAACAACAACAACAACAACCCACACTACCAAACGATTTGACAACAAATAAAGTGTCAAAAATCAACAATTACCTCTGTCAGGAGAACTGATCGATCGAGAAGAAACTAGTGAATTCAAATCGCCATTCATTGACATCGATTTCTCTGAAAAAAAATTCACCGATTAACAAACACACATCAGTTGAGTCTGATACTATCACGTCGAAACAATGAAAGGTTACTAAGGAAAGTTTCGGATGCACATTTTCTACAAATAGCATCCAAAACATAAATATACAACTTCAACTCCCAACACAAACACACCAAACTCATCAAAACCAATATGTACACTTCTGCACAACCACATAAAACTCCATACATGTTTCAATGCACTCACCTTCTTCATCACCCTCCGTCAATTTCGGATCCATCGCCGTCAACACGCACACAGCTTTAGATTCACCCACTGTCAAAACAGAACACCCTGAAACGGTGCTCGCATCTCCGTTCACTGATCCTAAAACAATACAACCCATAATCAATATCAATAAAACAACTCGTTCCTAACAAATAACACTCAACTGAACATCTACGAAAATATCTCAAAATTACCTTTCTCAACTATGGGCTCTGCCAACACAGACTCGCTCAATCTCAATGGGGAAAACGATTCTGAAAGTATACAAAAACAATTACACAAAATGTTAAATGCTCATCATCACATCGATAACAAACACTCCACTGTCACATTCACAGTAGCATTGAATATAATCATCAACGCAAGCACCAATATGACAAGCGAAACACAACACACACATTATCACATAGACAAATATCCTAAACAAAACAAATATCAACCTTCTTATTCAACCCTCCACCACATAAACACTGACTACTCACATCCACCAACCACATAGAAACTCAATATCACACTTACCACCACTCCCCACATTCCCTCTGACCGTGCCTCTTCTCCCACGCCGTCTACCCACCATCATCTACAATAGAAACAACAACAACAGAAACAATATTATTCGTAATCATAATCATAGCCACACCAACAACATGTACAACGCACTAGCTTCCCTCATACACCACCACCACCACCACCACCACCACCACCACCACTACCATCAACGGAAATACAACAGAAACACACAACTATTCCCATATAAATTGAATACTGAAAGCTTCACTAAAACCAAACTCACCGGGACAACCGCACCCACAGGCTCCACTGTTCCACCTGAAATTAAAAACACACAAGTTAATACTCTACAAATATTCAACAAAACACAATATTACACTTTCACCAAAACCACAGTGGTTCACCTCATCCAATATAGCAGTGCTCCACGTCGCCACACACATTCACTTCACGTACCACTTACTTACTTACTCACTCACTCACTCACTCACTCACTCACCACCACAACTCACACAATAAAAACACACAAATTAAACCCGATCAACATAATTACACTCACCGTTCCATGCAATTACATACAACCATGAATCTATCTGCTTAACGATCTAACACTACAAAGTCACAATTGTCGTAACTCGGACCGGTCACTCAATTCAATCATGTACATCATAACGGAAATTCTTACCCAATCTAGCTGTTCTCTCGTCGGAAAACAACACACTCGTCTTCGCACATCACTAAACACTTATCACAACTACAAAACATCGTAGCTACCACTCTACAAATCAACTCGTCAAACAAACAAACAAACAAACAAACACACACACACACAAACACACAAAATATCTCCATGTGACCAAACAAATACTCAAAAGCAACATAACTATCACAATACCCAACACAACATCAATACTCATGAATCACGTCCCACACTAACAACAACAACAACAACAACCCACACTACCAAACGATTTGACAACAAATAAAGTGTCAAAAATCAACAATTACCTCTGTCAGGAGAACTGATCGATCGAGAAGAAACTAGTGAATTCAAATCGCCATTCATTGACATCGATTTCTCTGAAAAAAATTCACCGATTAACAAACACACATCAGTTGAGTCTGATACTATCACGTCGAAACAATGAAAGGTTACTAAGGAAAGTTTCGGATGCACATTTTCTACAAATAGCATCCAAAACATAAATATACAACTTCAACTCCCAACACAAACACACCAAACTCATCAAAACCAATATGTACACTTCTGCACAACCACATAAAACTCCATACATGTTTCAATGCACTCACCTTCTTCATCACCCTCCGTCAATTTCGGATCCATCGCCGTCAACATGCACACAGCTTTAGATTCACCCACTGTCAAAACAGAACACCCTGAAACGGTGCTCGCATCTCCGTTCACTGATCCTAAAACAATACAACCCATAATCAATATCAATAAAACAAGTCGTTCCTAACAAATAACACTCAACTGAACATCTACGAAAATATATCAAAATTACCTTTCTCAACTATGGGCTCTGCCAACACAGACTCGCTCAATCTCAATGGGGAAAACGATTCTGAAAGTATACAAAAACAATTACACAAAATGTTAAATGCTCATCATCACATCGATAACAAACACTCCACTGTCACATTCACAGTAGCATTGAATATAATCATCAACGCAAGCACCAATATGACAAGCGAAACACAACACACACATTATCACATAGACAAATATCCTAAACAAAACAAATATCAACCTTCTTATTCAACCCTCCACCACATAAACACTGACTACTCACATCCACCAACCACATAGAAACTCAATATCACACTTACCACCACTCCCCACATTCCCTCTGACCGTGCCTCTTCTCCCACGCCGTCTACCCACCATCATCTACAATAGAAACAACAACAACAGAAACAATATTATTCGTAATCATAATCATAGCCACACCAACAACATGTACAACGCACTAGCTTCCCTCATACACCACCACCACCACCACCACCACCACCACCACCACTACCATCAACGGAAATACAACAGAAACACACAACTATTCCCATATAAATTGAATACTGAAAGCTTCACTAAAACCAAACTCACCGGGACAACCGCACCCACAGGCTCCACTGTTCCACCTGAAATTAAAAACACACAAGTTAATACTCTACAAATATTCAACAAAACACAATATTACACTTTCACCAAAACCACAGTGGTTCACCTCATCCAATATAGCAGTGCTCCACGTCGCCACACACATTCACTTCACGTACCACTTACTTACTTACTCACTCACTCACTCACTCAATCAATCACTCACTCACCACCACAACTCACACAATAAAAACACACAAATTAAACCCGATCAACATAATTACACTCACCGTTCCATGCAATTACATACAACCATGAATCTATCTGCTTAACGATCTAACACTACAAAGTCACAATTGTCGTAACTCGGACCGGTCACTCAATTCAATCATGTACATCATAACGGAAATTCTTACCCAATCTAGCTGTTCTCTCGTCGGAAAACAACACACTCGTCTTCGCACATCACTAAACACTTATCACAACTACAAAACATCGTAGCTACCACTCTACAAATCAACTCGTCAAACAAACAAACAAACAAACAAACACACACACACACAAACACACAAAATATCTCCATGTGACCAAACAAATACTCAAAAGCAACATAACTATCACAATACCCAACACAACATCAATACTCATGAATCACGTCCCACACTAACAACAACAACAACAACAACCCACACTACCAAACGATTTGACAACAAATAAAGTGTCAAAAATCAACAATTACCTCTGTCAGGAGAACTGATCGATCGAGAAGAAACTAGTGAATTCAAATCGCCATTCATTGACATCGATTTCTCTGAAAAAAATTCACCGATTAACAAACACACATCAGTTGAGTCTGATACTATCACGTCGAAACAATGAAAGGTTACTAAGGAAAGTTTCGGATGCACATTTTCTACAAATAGCATCCAAAACATAAATATACAACTTCAACTCCCAACACAAACACACCAAACTCATCAAAACCAATATGTACACTTCTGCACAACCACATAAAACTCCATACATGTTTCAATGCACTCACCTTCTTCATCACCCTCCGTCAATTTCGGATCCATCGCCGTCAACATGCACACAGCTTTAGATTCACCCACTGTCAAAACAGAACACTCTGAAACGGTGCTCGCATCTCCGTTCACTGATCCTAAAACAATACAACCCATAATCAATATCAATAAAACAAGTCGTTCCTAACAAATAACACTCAACTGAACATCTACGAAAATATCTCAAAATTACCTTTCTCAACTATGGGCTCTGCCAACACAGACTCGCTCAATCTCAATGGGGAAAACGATTCTGAAAGTATACAAAAACAATTACACAAAATGTTAAATGCTCATCATCACATCGATAACAAACACTCCACTGTCACATTCACAGTAGCATTGAATATAATCATCAACGCAAGCACCAATATGACAAGCGAAACACAACACACACATTATCACATAGACAAATATCCTAAACAAAACAAATATCAACCTTCTTATTCAACCCTCCACCACATAAACACTGACTACTCACATCCACCAACCACATAGAAACTCAATATCACACTTACCACCACTCCCCACATTCCCTCTGACCGTGCCTCTTCTCCCACGCCGTCTACCCACCATCATCTACAATAGAAACAACAACAACAGAAACAATATTATTCGTAATCATAATCATAGCCACACCAACAACATGTACAACGCACTAGCTTCCCTCATACACCACCACCACCACCACCACCACCACCACCACCACTACCATCAACGGAAATACAACAGAAACACACAACTATTCCCATATAAATTGAATACTGAAAGCTTCACTAAAACCAAACTCACCGGGACAACCGCACCCACAGGCTCCACTGTTCCACCTGAAATTAAAAACACACAAGTTAATACTCTACAAATATTCAACAAAACACAATATTACACTTTCACCAAAACCACAGTGGTTCACCTCATCCAATATAGCAGTGCTCCACGTCGCCACACACATTCACTTCACGTACCACTTACTTACTTACTCACTCACTCACTCAATCAATCAATCAATCACTCACCACCACCACAACTCACACAATAAAAACACACAAATTAAACCCGATCAACATAATTACACTCACCGTTCCATGCAATTACATACAACCATGAATCTATCTGCTTAACGATCTAACACTACAAAGTCACAATTGTCGTAACTCGGACCGGTCACTCAATTCAATCATGTACATCATAACGGAAATTCTTACCCAATCTAGCTGTTCTCTCATCGGAAAACAACACACTCGTCTTCGCACATCACTAAACACTTATCACAACTACAAAACATCGTAGCTACCACTCTACAAATCAACTCGTCAAACAAACAAACAAACAAACAAACACACACACACAACAACACACAAAATATCTCCATGTGACCAAACAAATACTCAAAAGCAACATAACTATCACAATACCCAACACAACATCAATACTCATGAATCACGTCCCACACTAACAACAACAACAACAACCCACACTACCAAACGATTTGACAACAAATAAAGTGTCAAAAATCAACAATTACCTCTGTCAGGAGAACTGATCGATCGAGAAGAAACTAGTGAATTCAAATCGCCATTCATTGACATCGATTTCTCTGAAAAAAATTCACCGATTAACAAACACACATCAGTTGAGTCTGATACTATCACGTCGAAACAATGAAAGGTTACTAAGGAAAGTTTCGGATGCACATTTTCTACAAATAGCATCCAAAACATAAATATACAACTTCAACTCCCAACACAAACACACCAAACTCATCAAAACCAATATGTACACTTCTGCACAACCACATAAAACTCCATACATGTTTCAATGCACTCACCTTCTTCATCACCCTCCGTCAATTTCGGATCCATCGCCGTCAACACGCACACAGCTTTAGATTCACCCACTGTCAAAACAGAACACCCTGAAACGGTGCTCGCATCTCCGTTCACTGATCCTAAAACAATACAACCCATAATCAATATCAATAAAACAAGTCGTTCCTAACAAATAACACTCAACTGAACATCTACGAAAATATCTCAAAATTACCTTTCTCAACTATGGGCTCTGCCAACACAGACTCGCTCAATCTCAATGGGGAAAACGATTCTGAAAGTATACAAAAACAATTACACAAAATGTTAAATGCTCATCATCACATCGATAACAAACACTCCACTGTCACATTCACAGTAACATTGAATATAATCATCAACGCAAGCACCAATATGACAAGCGAAACACAACACACACATTATCACATAGACAAATATCCTAAACAAAACAAATATCAACCTTCTTATTCAACCCTCCACCACATAAACACTGACTACTCACATCCACCAACCACATAGAAACTCAATATCACACTTACCACCACTCCCCACATTCCCTCTGACCGTGCCTCTTCTCCCACGCCGTCTACCCACCATCATCTACAATAGAAACAACAACAACAGAAACAATATTATTCGTAATCATAATCATAGCCACACCAACAACATGTACAACGCACTAGCTTCCCTCATACACCACCACCACCACCACCACCACCCTACCATCAACGGAAATACAACAGAAACACACAACTATTCCCATATAAATTGAATACTGAAAGCTTCACTAAAACCAAACTCACCGGGACAACCGCACCCACAGGCTCCACTGTTCCACCTGAAATTAAAAACACACAAGTTAATACTCTACAAATATTCAACAAAACACAATATTACACTTTCACCAAAACCACAGTGGTTCACCTCATCCAATATAGCAGTGCTCCACGTCGCCACACACATTCACTTCACGTACCACTTACTTACTTACTCACTCACTCACTCACTCACTCACCACCACCACAACTCACACAATAAAAACACACAAATTAAACCCGATCAACATAATTACACTCACCGTTCCATGCAATTACATACAACCATGAATCTATCTGCTTAACGATCTAACACTACAAAGTCACAATTGTCGTAACTCGGACCGGTCACTCAATTCAATCATGTACATCATAACGGAAATTCTTACCCAATCTAGCTGTTCTCTCGTCGGAAAACAACACACTCGTCTTCGCACATCACTAAACACTTATCACAACTACAAAACATCGTAGCTACCACTCTACAAATCAACTCGTCAAACAAACAAACAAACAAACAAACAAACACACACACACAACAACACACAAAATATCTCCATGTGACCAAACAAATACTCAAAAGCAACATAACTATCACAATACCCAACACAACATCAATACTCATGAATCACGTCCCACACTAACAACAACAACAACAACAACAACAACAACCCACACTACCAAACGATTTGACAACAAATAAAGTGTCAAAAATCAACAATTACCTCTGTCAGGAGAACTGATCGATCGAGAAGAAACTAGTGAATTCAAATCGCCATTCATTGACATCGATTTCTCTGAAAAAAATTCACCGATTAACAAACACACATCAGTTGAGTCTGATACTATCACGTCGAAACAATGAAAGGTTACTAAGGAAAGTTTCGGATGCACATTTTCTACAAATAGCATCCAAAACATAAATATACAACTTCAACTCCCAACACAAACACACCAAACTCATCAAAACCAATATGTACACTTCTGCACAACCACATAAAACTCCATACATGTTTCAATGCACTCACCTTCTTCATCACCCTCCGTCAATTTCGGATCCATCGCCGTCAACACGCACACAGCTTTAGATTCACCCACTGTCAAAACAGAACACCCTGAAACGGTGCTCGCATCTCCGTTCACTGATCCTAAAACAATACAACCCATAATCAATATCAATAAAACAAGTCGTTCCTAACAAATAACACTCAACTGAACATCTACGAAAATATCTCAAAATTACCTTTCTCAACTATGGGCTCTGCCAACACAGACTCGCTCAATCTCAATGGGGAAAACGATTCTGAAAGTATACAAAAACAATTACACAAAATGTTAAATGCTCATCATCACATCGATAACAAACACTCCACTGTCACATTCACAGTAACATTGAATATAATCATCAACGCAAGCACCAATATGACAAGCGAAACACAACACACACATTATCACATAGACAAATATCCTAAACAAAACAAATATCAACCTTCTTATTCAACCCTCCACCACATAAACACTGACTACTCACATCCACCAACCACATAGAAACTCAATATCACACTTACCACCACTCCCCACATTCCCTCTGACCGTGCCTCTTCTCCCACGCCGTCTACCCACCATCATCTACAATAGAAACAACAACAACAGAAACAATATTATTCGTAATCATAATCATAGCCACACCAACAACATGTACAACGCACTAGCTTCCCTCATACACCACCACCACCACCACCACCACCACTACCATCAACGGAAATACAACAGAAACACACAACTATTCCCATATAAATTGAATACTGAAAGCTTCACTAAAACCAAACTCACCGGGACAACCGCACCCACAGGCTCCACTGTTCCACCTGAAATTAAAAACACACAAGTTAATACTCTACAAATATTCAACAAAACACAATATTACACTTTCACCAAAACCACAGTGGTTCACCTCATCCAATATAGCAGTGCTCCACGTCGCCACACACATTCACTTCACGTACCACTTACTTACTTACTCACTCACTCACTCACTCACCACCACAACTCACACAATAAAAACACACAAATTAAACCCGATCAACATAATTACACTCACCGTTCCATGCAATTACATACAACCATGAATCTATCTGCTTAACGATCTAACACTACAAAGTCACAATTGTCGTAACTCGGACCGGTCACTCAATTCAATCATGTACATCATAACGGAAATTCTTACCCAATCTAGCTGTTCTCTCGTCGGAAAACAACACACTCGTCTTCGCACATCACTAAACACTTATCACAACTACAAAACATCGTAGCTACCACTCTACAAATCAACTCGTCAAACAAACAAACAAACAAACAAACACACACACACACAAACACACAAAATATCTCCATGTGACCAAACAAATACTCAAAAGCAACATAACTATCACAATACCCAACACAACATCAATACTCATGAATCACGTCCCACACTAACAACAACAACAACAACAACAACAACCCCACACTACCAAACGATTTGACAACAAATAAAGTGTCAAAAATCAACAATTACCTCTGTCAGGAGAACTGATCGATCGAGAAGAAACTAGTGAATTCAAATCGCCATTCATTGACATCGATTTCTCTGAAAAAAATTCACCGATTAACAAACACACATCAGTTGAGTCTGATACTATCACGTCGAAACAATGAAAGGTTACTAAGGAAAGTTTCGGATGCACATTTTCTACAAATAGCATCCAAAACATAAATATACAACTTCAACTCCCAACACAAACACACCAAACTCATCAAAACCAATATGTACACTTCTGCACAACCACATAAAACTCCATACATGTTTCAATGCACTCACCTTCTTCATCACCCTCCGTCAATTTCGGATCCATCGCCGTCAACATGCACACAGCTTTAGATTCACCCACTGTCAAAACAGAACACCCTGAAACGGTGCTCGCATCTCCGTTCACTGATCCTAAAACAATACAACCCATAATCAATATCAATAAAACAAGTCGTTCCTAACAAATAACACTCAACTGAACATCTACGAAAATATATCAAAATTACCTTTCTCAACTATGGGCTCTGCCAACACAGACTCGCTCAATCTCAATGGGGAAAACGATTCTGAAAGTATACAAAAACAATTACACAAAATGTTAAATGCTCATCATCACATCGATAACAAACACTCCACTGTCACATTCACAGTAACATTGAATATAATCATCAACGCAAGCACCAATATGACAAGCGAAACACAACACACACATTATCACATAGACAAATATCCTAAACAAAACAAATATCAACCTTCTTATTCAACCCTCCACCACATAAACACTGACTACTCACATCCACCAACCACATAGAAACTCAATATCACACTTACCACCACTCCCCACATTCCCTCTGACCGTGCCTCTTCTCCCACGCCGTCTACCCACCATCATCTACAATAGAAACAACAACAACAGAAACAATATTATTCGTAATCATAATCATAGCCACACCAACAACATGTACAACGCACTAGCTTCCCTCATACACCACCACCACCACCACCACCACTACCACCACCACTACCATCAACGGAAATACAACAGAAACACACAACTATTCCCATATAAATTGAATACTGAAAGCTTCACTAAAACCAAACTCACCGGGACAACCGCACCCACAGGCTCCACTGTTCCACCTGAAATTAAAAACACACAAGTTAATACTCTACAAATATTCAACAAAACACAATATTACACTTTCACCAAAACCACAGTGGTTCACCTCATCCAATATAGCAGTGCTCCACGTCGCCACACACATTCACTTCACGTACCACTTACTTACTTACTCACTCACTCACTCACTCACTCACTCACCACCACAACTCACACAATAAAAACACACAAATTAAACCCGATCAACATAATTACACTCACCGTTCCATGCAATTACATACAACCATGAATCTATCTGCTTAACGATCTAACACTACAAAGTCACAATTGTCGTAACTCGGACCGGTCACTCAATTCAATCATGTACATCATAACGGAAATTCTTACCCAATCTAGCTGTTCTCTCATCGGAAAACAACACACTCGTCTTCGCACATCACTAAACACTTATCACAACTACAAAACATCGTAGCTACCACTCTACAAATCAACTCGTCAAACAAACAAACAAACAAACAAACAAACACACACACACAACAACACACAAAATATCTCCATGTGACCAAACAAATACTCAAAAGCAACATAACTATCACAATACCCAACACAACATCAATACTCATGAATCACGTCCCACACTAACAACAACAACAACAACAACAACCCACACTACCAAACGATTTGACAACAAATAAAGTGTCAAAAATCAACAATTACCTCTGTCAGGAGAACTGATCGATCGAGAAGAAACTAGTGAATTCAAATCGCCATTCATTGACATCGATTTCTCTGAAAAAAATTCACCGATTAACAAACACACATCAGTTGAGTCTGATACTATCACGTCGAAACAATGAAAGGTTACTAAGGAAAGTTTCGGATGCACATTTTCTACAAATAGCATCCAAAACATAAATATACAACTTCAACTCCCAACACAAACACACCAAACTCATCAAAACCAATATGTACACTTCTGCACAACCACATAAAACTCCATACATGTTTCAATGCACTCACCTTCTTCATCACCCTCCGTCAATTTCGGATCCATCGCCGTCAACATGCACACAGCTTTAGATTCACCCACTGTCAAAACAGAACACCCTGAAACGGTGCTCGCATCTCCGTTCACTGATCCTAAAACAATACAACCCATAATCAATATCAATAAAACAAGTCGTTCCTAACAAATAACACTCAACTGAACATCTACGAAAATATCTCAAAATCACCTTTCTCAACTATGGGCTCTGCCAACACAGACTCGCTCAATCTCAATGGGGAAAACGATTCTGAAAGTATACAAAAACAATTACACAAAATGTTAAATGCTCATCATCACATCGATAACAAACACTCCACTGTCACATTCACAGTAACATTGAATATAATCATCAACGCAAGCACCAATATGACAAGCGAAACACAACACACACATTATCACATAGACAAATATCCTAAACAAAACAAATATCAACCTTCTTATTCAACCCTCCACCACATAAACACTGACTACTCACATCCACCAACCACATAGAAACTCAATATCACACTTACCACCACTCCTCACATTCCCTCTGACCGTGCCTCTTCTCCCACGCCGTCTACCCACCATCATCTACAATAGAAACAACAACAACAGAAACAATATTATTCGTAATCATAATCATAGCCACACCAACAACATGTGCAACGCACTAGCTTCCCTCATACACCACCACCACCACCACCACCACCACCACCACCACTACCATCAACGGAAATACAACAGAAACACACAACTATTCCCATATAAATTGAATACTGAAAGCTTCACTAAAACCAAACTCACCGGGACAACCGCACCCACAGGCTCCACTGTTCCACCTGAAATTAAAAACACACAAGTTAATACTCTACAAATATTCAACAAAACACAATATTACACTTTCACCAAAACCACAGTGGTTCACCTCATCCAATATAGCAGTGCTCCACGTCGCCACACACATTCACTTCACGTACCACTTACTTACTTACTCACTCACTCACTCACTCACTCACTCACCACCACCACAACTCACACAATAAAAACACACAAATTAAACCCGATCAACATAATTACACTCACCGTTCCATGCAATTACATACAACCATGAATCTATCTGCTTAACGATCTAACACTACAAAGTCACAATTGTCGTAACTCGGACCGGTCACTCAATTCAATCATGTACATCATAACGGAAATTCTTACCCAATCTAGCTGTTCTCTCGTCGGAAAACAACACACTCGTCTTCGCACATCACTAAACACTTATCACAACTACAAAACATCGTAGCTACCACTCTACAAATCAACTCGTCAAACAAACAAACAAACAAACAAACAAACACACACACACAACAACACACAAAATATCTCCATGTGACCAAACAAATACTCAAAAGCAACATAACTATCACAATACCCAACACAACATCAATACTCATGAATCACGTCCCACACTAACAACAACAACAACAACAACACCCACACTACCAAACGATTTGACAACAAATAAAGTGTCAAAAATCAACAATTACCTCTGTCAGGAGAACTGATCGATCGAGAAGAAACTAGTGAATTCAAATCGCCATTCATTGACATCGATTTCTCTGAAAAAAATTCACCGATTAACAAACACACATCAGTTGAGTCTGATACTATCACGTCGAAACAATGAAAGGTTACTAAGGAAAGTTTCGGATGCACATTTTCTACAAATAGCATCCAAAACATAAATATACAACTTCAACTCCCAACACAAACACACCAAACTCATCAAAACCAATATGTACACTTCTGCACAACCACATAAAACTCCATACATGTTTCAATGCACTCACCTTCTTCATCACCCTCCGTCAATTTCGGATCCATCGCCGTCAACATGCACACAGCTTTAGATTCACCCACTGTCAAAACAGAACACCCTGAAACGGTGCTCGCATCTCCGTTCACTGATCCTAAAACAATACAACCCATAATCAATATCAATAAAACAAGTCGTTCCTAACAAATAACACTCAACTGAACATCTACGAAAATATCTCAAAATTACCTTTCTCAACTATGGGCTCTGCCAACACAGACTCGCTCAATCTCAATGGGGAAAACGATTCTGAAAGTATACAAAAACAATTACACAAAATGTTAAATGCTCATCATCACATCGATAACAAACACTCCACTGTCACATTCACAGTAACATTGAATATAATCATCAACGCAAGCACCAATATGACAAGCGAAACACAACACACACATTATCACATAGACAAATATCCTAAACAAAACAAATATCAACCTTCTTATTCAACCCTCCACCACATAAACACTGACTACTCACATCCACCAACCACATAGAAACTCAATATCACACTTACCACCACTCCCCACATTCCCTCTGACCGTGCCTCTTCTCCCACGCCGTCTACCCACCATCATCTACAATAGAAACAACAACAACAGAAACAATATTATTCGTAATCATAATCATAGCCACACCAACAACATGTACAACGCACTAGCTTCCCTCATACACCACCACCACCACCACCACCACCACCACCACCACTACCATCAACGGAAATACAACAGAAACACACAACTATTCCCATATAAATTGAATACTGAAAGCTTCACTAAAACCAAACTCACCGGGACAACCGCACCCACAGGCTCCACTGTTCCACCTGAAATTAAAAACACACAAGTTAATACTCTACAAATATTCAACAAAACACAATATTACACTTTCACCAAAACCACAGTGGTTCACCTCATCCAATATAGCAGTGCTCCACGTCGCCACACACATTCACTTCACGTACCACTTACTTACTTACTCACTCACTCACTCACTCACTCACTCACCACCACCACAACTCACACAATAAAAACACACAAATTAAACCCGATCAACATAATTACACTCACCGTTCCATGCAATTACATACAACCATGAATCTATCTGCTTAACGATCTAACACTACAAAGTCACAATTGTCGTAACTCGGACCGGTCACTCAATTCAATCATGTACATCATAACGGAAATTCTTACCCAATCTAGCTGTTCTCTCATCGGAAAACAACACACTCGTCTTCGCACATCACTAAACACTTATCACAACTACAAAACATCGTAGCTACCACTCTACAAATCAACTCGTCAAACAAACAAACAAACAAACAAACAAACACACACACACAACAACACACAAAATATCTCCATGTGACCAAACAAATACTCAAAAGCAACATAACTATCACAATACCCAACACAACATCAATACTCATGAATCACGTCCCACACTAACAACAACAACAACAACAACAACCCACACTACCAAACGATTTGACAACAAATAAAGTGTCAAAAATCAACAATTACCTCTGTCAGGAGAACTGATCGATCGAGAAGAAACTAGTGAATTCAAATCGCCATTCATTGACATCGATTTCTCTGAAAAAAATTCACCGATTAACAAACACACATCAGTTGAGTCTGATACTATCACGTCGAAACAATGAAAGGTTACTAAGGAAAGTTTCGGATGCACATTTTCTACAAATAGCATCCAAAACATAAATATACAACTTCAACTCCCAACACAAACACACCAAACTCATCAAAACCAATATGTACACTTCTGCACAACCACATAAAACTCCATACATGTTTCAATGCACTCACCTTCTTCATCACCCTCCGTCAATTTCGGATCCATCGCCGTCAACATGCACACAGCTTTAGATTCACCCACTGTCAAAACAGAACACCCTGAAACGGTGCTCGCATCTCCGTTCACTGATCCTAAAACAATACAACCCATAATCAATATCAATAAAACAAGTCGTTCCTAACAAATAACACTCAACTGAACATCTACGAAAATATCTCAAAATTACCTTTCTCAACTATGGGCTCTGCCAACACAGACTCGCTCAATCTCAATGGGGAAAACGATTCTGAAAGTATACAAAAACAATTACACAAAATGTTAAATGCTCATCATCACATCGATAACAAACACTCCACTGTCACATTCACAGTAGCATTGAATATAATCATCAACGCAAGCACCAATATGACAAGCGAAACACAACACACACATTATCACATAGACAAATATCCTAAACAAAACAAATATCAACCTTCTTATTCAACCCTCCACCACATAAACACTGACTACTCACATCCACCAACCACATAGAAACTCAATATCACACTTACCACCACTCCCCACATTCCCTCTGACCGTGCCTCTTCTCCCACGCCGTCTACCCACCATCATCTACAATAGAAACAACAACAACAGAAACAATATTATTCGTAATCATAATCATAGCCACACCAACAACATGTACAACGCACTAGCTTCCCTCATACACCACCACCACCACCACCACCACCACTACCATCAACGGAAATACAACAGAAACACACAACTATTCCCATATAAATTGAATACTGAAAGCTTCACTAAAACCAAACTCACCGGGACAACCGCACCCACAGGCTCCACTGTTCCACCTGAAATTAAAAACACACAAGTTAATACTCTACAAATATTCAACAAAACACAATATTACACTTTCACCAAAACCACAGTGGTTCACCTCATCCAATATAGCAGTGCTCCACGTCGCCACACACATTCACTTCACGTACCACTTACTTACTTACTCACTCACTCACTCACTCACTCACCACCACCACAACTCACACAATAAAAACACACAAATTAAACCCGATCAACATAATTACACTCACCGTTCCATGCAATTACATACAACCATGAATCTATCTGCTTAACGATCTAACACTACAAAGTCACAATTGTCGTAACTCGGACCGGTCACTCAATTCAATCATGTACATCATAACGGAAATTCTTACCCAATCTAGCTGTTCTCTCGTCGGAAAACAACACACTCGTCTTCGCACATCACTAAACACTTATCACAACTACAAAACATCGTAGCTACCACTCTACAAATCAACTCGTCAAACAAACAAACACACACACACACACACAAACACACAAAATATCTCCATGTGACCAAACAAATACTCAAAAGCAACATAACTATCACAATACCCAACACAACATCAATACTCATGAATCACGTCCCACACTAACAACAACAACAACCCACACTACCGAACGATTTGACAACAAATAAAGTGTCAAAAATCAACAATTACCTCTGTCAGGAGAACTGATCGATCGAGAAGAAACTAGTGAATTCAAATCGCCATTCATTGACATCGATTTCTCTGAAAAAAATTCACCGATTAACAAACACACATCAGTTGAGTCTGATACTATCACGTCGAAACAATGAAAGGTTACTAAGGAAAGTTTCGGATGCACATTTTCTACAAATAGCATCCAAAACATAAATATACAACTTCAACTCCCAACACAAACACACCAAACTCATCAAAACCAATATGTACACTTCTGCACAACCACATAAAACTCCATACATGTTTCAATGCACTCACCTTCTTCATCACCCTCCGTCAATTTCGGATCCATCGCCGTCAACACGCACACAGCTTTAGATTCACCCACTGTCAAAACAGAACACCCTGAAACGGTGCTCGCATCTCCGTTCACTGATCCTAAAACAATACAACCCATAATCAATATCAATAAAACAAGTCGTTCCTAACAAATAACACTCAACTGAACATCTACGAAAATATCTCAAAATTACCTTTCTCAACTATGGGCTCTGCCAACACAGACTCGCTCAATCTCAATGGGGAAAACGATTCTGAAAGTATACAAAAACAATTACACAAAATGTTAAATGCTCATCATCACATCGATAACAAACACTCCACTGTCACATTCACAGTAACATTGAATATAATCATCAACGCAAGCACCAATATGACAAGCGAAACACAACACACACATTATCACATAGACAAATATCCTAAACAAAACAAATATCAACCTTCTTATTCAACCCTCCACCACATAAACACTGACTACTCACATCCACCAACCACATAGAAACTCAATATCACACTTACCACCACTCCCCACATTCCCTCTGACCGTGCCTCTTCTCCCACGCCGTCTACCCACCATCATCTACAATAGAAACAACAACAACAGAAACAATATTATTCGTAATCATAATCATAGCCACACCAACAACATGTACAACGCACTAGCTTCCCTCATACACCACCACCACCACCACCACCACCACTACCATCAACGGAAATACAACAGAAACACACAACTATTCCCATATAAATTGAATACTGAAAGCTTCACTAAAACCAAACTCACCGGGACAACCGCACCCACAGGCTCCACTGTTCCACCTGAAATTAAAAACACACAAGTTAATACTCTACAAATATTCAACAAAACACAATATTATACTTTCACCAAAACCACAGTGGTTCACCTCATCCAATAAAACAGTGCTCCACGTCGCCACACACAATCACTTGACCTACCACTGACACGATGAGCGTGATTGCACTCAATGTCCTGTTTGATGGCATGGTAATCGTTAGTTTTATTTTATAATCCTGTACATGTTCCACCATCAAGTTTTTCTTTGTTGCTATATTTGTTTTTCTTGTTGTTGTTTTTTTGATTTACGCAATTTTTTTCTGGTCAAATGCGTGAAGGTATTTTTATTAAGGAAATAGAATGTGCATTTATTAGCATCACTTTAAACTGAAAATTTAGTTATAAACCTATGTTTTGTTTGTATGTCTCCCAAAGCAGTTTATTTGAATTTAAGTCGTCAAAAGATGATCGTGTTTTCGAACAACTTTTTCATTTCAATCTAGAATGAAGGCTGTTGTTTAGAAAATACAAATCCATTTTGTTTGATCAAAGATATATGTATGAGAAATGAAAGTAATTCATCTTTTTTTATCAAATATTGTCGCTTGGTATTGCTGTCTGCTTCTAGGTTATTATGAAATGGCAGTTTTAATTTATTTCATAGGTGTTAAATTATCTTTTATCTCAAGAAGTTAAATTCATTCCTGTAGTTCATCTGTCGTACGATCGTCGGATAATGAGATCCTACTACCATTAACTCAGTTTTTTATTTCCATCACTGTTCAATAAATGATTTGTGTATACTAAAACATCTTCATTACAACTCTACCTAGTTGAGTAATTTAATAATATTAGACATTATTGACGTACTTGGCTACAAAGATATTGAGTAAATTCTTATAAACTCACCTATAGTATAGATAGGTGTTAGATGTAGACTTTGAAATGAAGCAATCATTTCCCTTAATTGAGAATTAAGTATAATATAATTTTCGAGTCTTAATACTTTCAAATAAATTGAGCGTTAGATATATTTTTCATATTAAATAAGCAATATACTGTGATAAACTAATCAGTGGTGAAACTGGATTTCTGACATTTTGCAACATAATGCAAGTGGCTTTTAGAAATAATAAACAACCACATTATGTAATTAACTATTCAATTACTTGTAGGAAAAATATAAGGAACACAAAAAAACTTACTTTCAATACTTGACGTTTGAAGTAATCCTGATTGATCTAACCGAAGTGGTGAAATGGATGCTGAAAAAAAAACTCTAATTCAGTAGTATAGATGAATGTATCTAAATACATGACAGATAAGTTGTTTGGCGTTTTGATGATTCGATAAAACGGGAAATTAGTTGGACAATGAATAAAATGCATTAAAACAAGCTACGAAAACTTGAAAAACAGACTTACAACAATTCAACAAATTTTGCTTCCCACGTCTTCGTCGACCTCGGAGTTTACGAACAGCCACCTAAGCATCACATTGAGAAAAAAAGTTTTCAAAAGGAAATTGGAAACATTTAAATCAGGCTTGAAAACATACTCTAGTTACTCCATATAGTTTACCTACAGGCCAACTATTGTACATTCAGTCAGCTACAACGTAAGACCAGGCACATATGTTCATCCGTCCAAGTTGCCACACCTACTTAGCACAAGATGAACACCGAATTCATAGAAGTAGTTGCTTCAATGGTAATAAAAAAATTGTGGGTTAAGAACTAATTCGTAGAAAGGAAGGTACGAAGTAACTCCGCCCGGAGTCCCTCTGGGGGCTACTGCCAGTCTCAAGCCCGGATAAAGGAGGAGGGTTGGGCATGGGGTTAGCGTCCCCATCCCGTGGAAAACTAACTAGCTAAAAAACGCTAACCAGAAAAAATATCAAACCTTTTAAACTCTGCCCTGAGAGTCAGAAGGTCTTCATTTAGAAGAACTATGACGCCTCATGATGAAAGCCGAATTCCTTCGGAAGTTACGAGGCCGATGCCCCTTCTGACAACCAGAGCGACCATTTATTTAGGTACATGGAATGTTCGTACAATGTGGGACACCGGGAGAGCCTTCCAGATTGCTGCAGAAATGAGAAGATACAACCTAGAGGTACTTGGGATCAGTGGAACACATTGGACACAAGTTGGACAACAACGACTAACTACAGGAGAGCTCCTGTTATACTCCGGCCATGAAGAAGAAAATGCACCACATACACAAGGAGTTGCATTGATGCTGTCCAAACAAGCACAAAATGCGCTTATAGGATGGGAATCTCATGGACCAAGGATCATCAAAGCCTCGTTCAAAACAAAGAAAGAGGGTATTTCAATGAACATCAGCCAATGCTATGCGCCTACCAACGACTACAATGAAGACGCTAAAGATCAATTCTACAATAGGATGCAGTCAATCGTCGAGAAGTGCCCAACAAAGGACCTGACCATTCTGATGGGAGACTTCAATGCCAAGGTTGGAACGGACAACACTGGATATGAAGACATCATGGGACGACACGGACTGGGAGAAAGAAACGAAAACGGTGAGAGATTTGCAAATCTATGTGCCTTCAATAAGCTGGTTATTGAAGGCACCATATTCCCACATAAACGCATACACAAAACCACATGGACTTCACCGGATCACTCTACACAAAACCAAATCGACCATATTTGCATCAACAAAACGTTCAGGAGGACTATAGAGGACGTGAGAACCAAGAGAGGAGCTGATATAGCATCACATCATCAATTGATTTACCATCATTTTCTAATACCCTGTGTCTAACCTCACTATTACTTATCCGTTGGTCCCAGTAGATGCGAGCAATATTTCTAAGGCATCTGTGGTCAGATACTAGTAGCTTACGAATATCTTCAACTCTTAATTACCACGTTTCGCAACCTTAAAGTAAAACAGAACGAACTGCTGTGCAGTATACCCTTCCTTTAATTGATAGATGGATATTTCACCTTCACCATAGGTGATGTAAGTTGGTAAAAGCCAAACGAGCTTTCTGGATCCGTGGAGAGATTTCGTTAAACGCCAACCCATTAAGGTTGATCAGACTTCCAAGATAAATGAAGTTGCAGACACATCCGACAACTTCATTCCTTACCCTCGGTCCAGGTGTTGACGCAGGCCAGTCCTAAAGCAACAATTTGCATTTAGAGGGAGAGAAACGCATCTTGGTATTGTTTCTCAGTATTACCAAAAGACTCTGCATTTTATCAGCGCCTTCACCAAACAGGACTATGTCATCTGAGTATTCTAAGTTAATAGGTGGACCTCCTGGTAGATCAATGCCCAAAAATTCAGATAACGAGAACGTTATTTCCAACCGTAGGTCTATGGTGGAATTGAACAAAAATGGAGATAATAGACAGCCTTTCCGGACACTACATGCGGTTACAAAGTCAGATGATAGTTCGCCATAAGCTCTGACTCGACTGGCAGTGTTCGAGTAAAGAGCCTTCACAAGGTTTATGTACTTCTGAGGTACGCCTTTCAATGACAGACACTGCCACAGAACCTCTCGGTCTACAGAGTCAAATGCTGCTTTTAAGTCAAGAAAAACTATAATTGTCGGACGCCGATAAGTATGCCTGTGTTCTGAGATCTGACGAATGGAGAATATGTGGTCGATGCAGCCACAACCAGGTTCAAAGTCAGATGACCGTTGCCACTACCTTGACATGGTGGTCGGGCTTGCCTATCGTGATGAACCAATCGGGCTATACTGGATGGAACTATCGTTTTTCAAGGTCCTGCCATGTCAGATAGGTAGATTGGGAAACGGTAAAACTATGACCAGCAAACCCAAGGTCCGAGGGCGAAGTCGTATTGCTGACCGTACATAGATGTGACGGCAGTAAGGCATTTCCCTCACACAACCAGTATAGCAGCGATGCTGCCTTCCCATAAAAGAATGGTGGAGTTAGAAAAGGTCGACCCTAAAAATGCACACTTCACCTTATTACACAGATTTCCGCCTCCAACGGTTAGGCATCAACAGTTACGGAGTTAACACAAAAATGTATGTAACCGGCCTCGAGAGTTTGTACCATGGTCACTGCGGTCAAGCTCTCAGGTCACTAAGACCAACTCTAATCCGACTTCCTTTTCAAGTACCTCTAGACTATTGTACATTCAAAAATGATGTATCAAACTCATCTTTAGGGGCTAGTAAATTCCACTTAATTAGGATCTGATAAAATTTGCATTCCCTATAAACGTGGGTTGATAAATGACAACGGAGACGGGATGATATAAATTTATTTTGTTTCAGGAAATAACAGGTCAAGAGAAGTCTAAACAAAGATTAAATATAGTACACGATTTCTGCACAAAGTCACAAGCCTAGAAATAAATGAAGTTTATGTGGTGAAAGGTTGTTATTTGACGTCTATAAAGTTACATCGTAGTAAAAATTCGTTCCATAGGGAATTCAAACATTAATTTTGAACATGGATAACCTTAATAATCACCTAATTCTATGCTAAATAATGTGGCGTGACGAAACCAAAAGCTGGTAAAGTAAGCAACTCGAAGGTCAGCAAAGCAAAATAATACCTTACCCTAACCCTATCAAAATAGATAACCAACACCCATAGTTTATGAGCTGAAATGTGAAGCTTCACATAGAGATGTCTCGAGCAGATAAATTGCTATTGTCGTATGCTAATAAATTTTGACAAAATGTATCATGGTAAGAACAAATAAAAGCAGAAATTGTGGTTTTCGGCCTACTCAAAAACAATTACAACACAAAAGGATATCGTATTTTTGAAGGCACGCAATAAAATGAAGACGTTAGTTAGGAATACTTAATTAAATACATTAAAATAGCAGACAAAAATCCTCGGGTAGCTGCATGCCACTACACACTTACAGGATGAGCATCAGGTGATAAAAAAGATTCTGGAAGAAAAAATGGAAAGTCATAAAATATCTAAGATTTTATAAAATAAGCAAAAAGCATTATTATTACTTTATTGTTTAAACACATAAACATAGGTACAAGGAGGCACCAAAGAGATGTGCGCCACATAAATCATTCGATTTGTGTGGGGGCCGGGATACTACCCGGGTGCCCAAACCAAAGAATATGGTTTTCTTAGGGTACCACTCCCCAAGCCTTTGACTTAACGGTCCAGTCCACGAGGCAGTGGAGCAACGTAAGGAGATACAATTCCATGGCAGCCGGTGACTAATAATTTGTTCGTACGCCACTTGTTACCTCAGGATCCTGGAGCCCATGTGCACTATTGGTTTGGAATCAAAGTTTGCCAACTTCCCTGGGTAGATCTGCCGTATCCACCGACCCGATCAAAGCCCCCAAATGCCCTGGTAAGGCCGAGAGTGGGGAGAGTCCGCTCTCCCTCTCGAAATGCTCTCACATGGCCACGCGTATATAGCCTCTGCCAGGGAAGTCCTACTCACTGCCTTTTCGTGACGGGGATGTTGTTTACGAAAATGAGAGGACGAAAAGCGAATGCCCGGCGCTTTAACCGGATTCCAAACCAATGGTACATATGGGCTCCAGTATCCTGCGGGAACAAATGGCGTATGAACCAATCGTTGGTCACCGGCTTCCATGGGAATGCATCTCCTTACGATGCTCCACTGTCTTGTGGATCAGACCTTCAGGTCGAAGGCTCGGGGAGTGGACCCTTGAGAAAACGACCTGCTTCGGTTTGGGCACCCGGGCAGTATCACAGCCCTCACACATATCGAATGAGATTTGTGTGGCGCATATGTATTTGGTGCCTCTTTGTACCAATACCTATATGTTGAAATAAATAAATCTCAATTTCGTAAACGACACCCACGCCGCGAGAAGACAGTGAATAGGACTTCCTTCACAGTGGTTGTATGCACGTAGCCGTGTGAGAGCATTCCGAGATGGAGAGCTGACTCTCCCCACTCTCGACCATACCAGGGCACTTGAGGGCATCAGCGATCAATCATTTCATAGCTACATGCACGTTTCTTTCCATTATTTATTTGTTTTACCCCATACTGAGACTAATGATTTAACAGTCCTGCCCACAAATTTATGAAATTTTAGTGAATAACTTTGAGTTTTCATGTGTAGAGCTATCTAGGATTATATGATAGATGAAAACGTATAATGAATAACGTACCTAGTGTTATTCACTTTAATTCTTATTCAATTAACAAGCTGTGGGTTGTTCATTAAAGTCTTACCCAGGAATTTAAATTAGCGTCAATAAGATTCGACCTAACCGAGGCCCTGCTTTTGAATACGTTGTTTAAAGCATCGAATCACATTCCCAATAAATCATACAAAATTATAAAACAACGTAACTACTGCGTTTACGATAAAGATGCCAGTCGTATCAACGAACAGTTATTGGTAAAATTAGGTTTTAAATTGAGATTCGTAGACCGTTGATCTAACCTCACCATCAAGTAAGTGCAACAAAATTTTATTATTTTTTCCCCTAAAAATAATACCGGTTGTGATGGAGCAAATATTGGATTTTGGAAAACGTGAAGTCAAAGGGAAAAACCAAGTTATAGCTTACTACGTACAAGTCAGTAAGCGGTATGAAATGTTGACCAATAGATACACTCATATGTCTTTCCTAGCTAAGAGATATTTGTGAATTGATTTTATTACCTGAACCTAGACTAGGTAACACCGTAAATCCACCATGGTTAGAATTATTCTATTATCAAATGTAACAATTCAAATAACAAACGGGACCGCGAGATGATAGCAACCGATGGTTAGACCCTGAATGACATGGCTCAAAATCGTTTGCAATGGCACAGGTGCATACACTCTTTGTGTTCTCCCGAATTCTAATCTCCTGATTCTTCCTTGTTTCTTTTTCCTCTTCCCAAATTTATTTCACTGGATTATACTCTTTAAATAACATCTCCAAATCCTAATCTTCCCGACTACTGCTTATACTCTTACTACCTCTACCACTACGGGATTTGAATCGACAACTGGATCTCTGTGCTAATGTGGTATGGCAACTCGAACTGATGTACGTACGTACGAAGTTCTACGTTGTTACTGACTGACTGACATTAAGTCGCGTATCACATTTAACCATTTGATTTCTCAACTCAGTGAATAACTGGGCACGAACAAACAAAATAACTATAAAATGTCCATATATAAAAGATACATACCCGCTAACATTGGTCGGTCCTCATGATTAAGATGAAAACTTGACTTGTTGGGTGGGAGGACAAGTCTAGAATTTGACGAAACACTTTTTTCGCTGTCTATAATAACTGGTGAGCATGTTTTGCTGCTTGGAACGTCTGAAGTATGTAGTGACTGAAAGCAAGAATCAATTTTCTTCCTATCAAAAACATGGGTAAAACTGATCGCTTTAACAGAATTAGCAAAATGTTTCTTCAAACCTGATAGGCCATTGTGATACAAAAGTGTCTCACAAGATGACAGTTCATCAAAATCACTAAATCCAGATAGGGCCATGGAAGACTGAAAATATTTGTTTTTAGGAGGCAGTATTTAGGTTGGAAGCAAGCCACCTGAAAATCGATAGAGAAATGTCTGATGAACCTTCGGAAACCGAATACAAAAACGGTTTAATGTGTTAAAAATAGGAAGTTGATTGATATTGTTTTAGCGCACTATCAAGCGGAGCTGAAAAATCTGAAATGTCGCAAATGGTAAGGTATGAGAAAAAAGGTGAGACTATAATTTACGGACGACCTTTGAGAGACGCCAGATTGACCTTTAGAGTGTCCACCTAATAACCAGGGTCAAATGAGGGTTACAAACCTTTGTGATGAATCAAAATTATGATTTACAGTTGATGATTAAAGTTGGAAATTAGATATAGGGTTTTCATCACGAACCGACACCAGCTATAATGCCAAAACTCTATTTATTCGAAGGAATGAGTGAAATCCGCGCCAAAATCCAAGATCTGTTATCTTATACATGGTTGGTTCGTCCATAAATTACAATTTTGCCGAAAAAAGCAGTACAGTAAAATACCATTTATACACAATGACTGAGGGCTATATTTCATAAAAATATTCGAATTATGATTCGAGAAATGACATAACAAAACCCAGATAACAGGGGTAAAAAAACGTGTTCATGTAAACACTCCGGATGGTACCATATGGCCCTGCAGGACGAGCTGTAGTGCTCAACCCACTTAGAAAGCCGGGATTGCTATAAGAGTAAATCCTCCAATTAGATGTGTATAAATTTTTTGCTTAACTAATTTCCGAATAGTTTTAGTCGTCCAACTAATCAATTGACCCTACTAAATGAACCGCTTGTTCTTACCGTCTCGTAAATCCCGCCACAACCTTTCAGTTGTATTACTGAGTTATCTGAACAAGAAAAAGAAAACAATTTTCCTAACTCATCACATTTTTCTATGTTTCTCGTGTTCCTAAAAACGTTGTTACAGAAAACGTCTGTGAATTAAAAGACGGGGACTTAGCCGATTTTTCTGTACAGAGTAAATCTTTTAGTTTTTACTGTATACTAAGATGTAAAAACTTCTTTCATACTCATTTCAGTCAGATATTTCAGTTACAGTAACAAAGAATTCTGATCCTCTTGTGTTCAACGTTTATCACCTTTAGAATTTCAAAGAACACTTATTCTAGAAATCGGCTTCTTATTTGTTCTATAGAGGTAAATGTATCCTCAAGATAAACAATTCTGTGAGTCTTCACTATTGATACCAACCTCACTTGTTTAACGTCATACACTCTAGCTGAAGTCGCTCGGCCACATCCACACCAGATCACGGGTGGGTACTCTGTGATACGCATCCCTTAGACTGAACTCTTCTCGAAATACTGATAGCAGATGTCCGTTTTCGAGGAGGCAAAGAGTGTCACCATGAGTCCGGCTTAAGATTTTAATGAAAGTATTAACATACCTCCATAATGTAGCGGATAATAACTACACAGATTTAGGCATGGTTACAAGTAATAAAAAGAAGTATACTAATAAGGAACAAATGATAGGGAGCTCCAAGATATGTGAATCGACTGTTTCAGCTCCGGATTCCCACATCAACTCAAAAAAGGCCGGGGAGGAGCATAGTCTGAGCGATGTATGGGATGTGATTAAGAGGCGAAATGAGATCAGTGAGTGGCTTACAGTCATACCCGGATAATTAAGGAAACAGAGTGAGACTTGGACTTCTGACGCCAAATTAGACTGCAGGGAGACAAAACTTCACAGCTTGTCAAGACGTGTCTCGCTGAGAGGTCATTCATATTTTATATGTTAAAAGTGTCTTCCGGAAAGGAACAATAGGCTAGATTTGATCACGATCTAAGCTACATTAAGTTCCTATTAAACAAACCAATCTCAGAAACAGTTGTATGGGTTGTTATTAATAAGCTTTGTAGAGAAAGACAAGAAGCGGAATCTGAAATTGTGCAAAAAGGCCGCCTCTTTAAAGTTTCTCCATTTCTGTTGAAAAAAGAAGCTTAATACTGGATAATTCGCGCAAACTGACTGGATCCGAAATATATGTCCGTCATGATCTCATGCTGGTTGATCGTATTAAGACACGATCGGTAGAAGTAAAAATAAATTAGCACCGCTGAAACGGTGCGAAATACCTTATACACACGGAAAAAAGTTTGGGGCAAGACGACCACCTACCACTACAGATGGTACAGAAAAGTTTTTCACCGAGTTTAGGGTATTCCACACAGCCTATTAGATAAAAATGGCGGAGCTCAAAACTGTACAGAGCACAAAAATCCTTGATGTCACTACCATCTACGAAGCGTGAATAACGAAAGAAGTGTATGATAGTTAAATTAAGTGGTTTGGTTTATTGCTTTGTAGGGATGGTAGACTAAATAGTGAGGGTGGCGGGTTTGTCCCGTACATGAAAAACACCGTCACCATACGAGCTGTCGAGACGGTAACACACGACTCAGGAACGTGTGAACTGGTGTGCTGCCAACTGAAATGTAGAAGGCAAGATATTAAGTTATTCGCAGTGTGACGGAAAGAAAACGAAAATTCCTTCAGAGCGTTTTGTTGAGTAGTAATGACAATTATTTATTTATTTGCTCTGTCTTGTATTTCGACATCTATTCAGGTCTTGTCTCACCACACTTTGAGTCCTTCCAGTCATTCTCGTCTGACTCTGTTTATGTGGCCTTGGTTAAAGACCTGTAGTGGGACTTCGCCCTAACCACACAATCCCCAAAGCTGAACACGATACAAGTGGGAAAATAGATATTCAACATTTAAAGCAGAGAGAAACCCAACGATGGAGAAGGAGGGAGTAATTAATTCAATTAGTTCGAGTTGGTCGAATGGCGTGACTCGGCTTTGCCAGCGTGATCCTACTTATTTAACAGTCTTTTATCTATTTTAAATATATTGTTCTATCTCCAGCCTAAATGTGTTCTTTACCGTATATGATCAGTACAATACGAATGAGTCAAGATAGATAATGCTGTGGTATCCAAGTAAAATCTTATAGATTAGGCAGATACATCATAATAAATCTACAAGTTTAGTATTAGGTCTATTATTAGAGCAGTACTAATATCATAGTGGATTATAATTCTACAGTCCTACCTTTTGTTACTTAACTAAACTGTTAGGTTTTATCGGGTTATTGACATTAAAGTCGTACTTGACTACGCCCAGCGTCACGGTGTGATCCAGAATATGACTGCCAACCTTTGACTGTTTACCTGGAATGGTTGCTGGATTGTTTGCAGACAGATATATGGTCCCAGCTTATAGGGAATATTTTAATGACTCTCACGAATCGAACTCCTGTTTAAGAACTATTCTTTTTAGCGTTTAACACATTGATTTATGTTAGAGAAACCGTTGATTGTATAGCACAAACTTTAACATTCGCAGCATTTTGTACATCAGAAAAAATTTCATCTCTTTTTCAAATTGGAACTGTTTAGATTGGACGCAGTTCGTGTCACCCAAAAACGCTTCGTGCGCTATAACGAAGAACGTAGTCTGACCTGATCGAATAAATTTGGTTTGTTAGTTCTGAGTCATCAAATGCATAGTTTGATTACAAATTGTTAGAAACCATACTCACCCTGGCTTTGTTCCGGCACATTGGAGACCCCACCAGATATGACCTACAAAACTCTTCGTCCCTCTTGGACTTATTCTTCATATACGGGGATGATGTCAGCCAAGTGACTTCCTCCCCCACGTTTGTGGAAAAGTGAGCATGTGATCATCTTATCCAAGTCCATGGCTGAGATTACCTGTGAAGCAGTTGCGACGCCACGTCCTAACATATGGAAGGCAGACATGAAGGCGGTAAACTTTGCAGCCTCTCCTGTTCACTAGAAAATCGACTCAGCAACATCAGCAGAAGAGGCATCGACTCAATTTTCAAAAATAACTCAGGCGAGTTCAACTATTTTACTTATTGATTCTTTTTACTTAACATGTATATGTTTTCCGGTTCCTTTTGCTATATATTTGTAAGTGTCCCTAGGCTAAATGCAGTAACTTCTTATGGAATGTACATAACGCATCATATTCCTGCCTGAAATTTCACAAGCAGTCTAAACTTAAATTATTTTCTGGTCATGTTCATTATTTTTAAATCGTCATATACGTCAACAACCTGCGTGTTAACCTGGCCCATACATACGTTACACTATATCTCCATGTCTTCTAAATTTAGAAATCATCTGGATCGCCTTTAACATTTATCAATAAACCCATCATAGTCGTTGTTGCTAATAGTATTTGGGTTTATGAATTGGTTTATCATATTACCAGCCTAAAATGCGAACATAGTTTAGATTATTAGATTACAAATTTAGATACTATCAACTGCACTAGTCAAATAACTAAATCCCCAGGTAGCTGTTGGCTAAACAAACGTTTAAAATCAAAACTCCGTAGCCTACTAGAATTACCACTAAACTAATCTTTCTGATATAAAATTTATAATTAAATTAGGCGTCTCGGATTCTTTAACGTAAATTTCTGATGATTTCAGGCATTTATACAATCAAGTGCCTCAACCATTTATACCCTGGACAGTCCCAAACAAGAAATACGGCTATCCTTAGATAGATAGAGACATTTAACACTTACTAAGACAAAAGAAACATTGGGACTTCACCATCAGTCTTGGAATAACAAATACGATGGGACGCCACAGGTCGATCCGAAACAAGTCTATTATCACAATGAAGACAGCAGGGCAAAAATATGAAAAGCATTAAGCATAATCTGTAATGAAGCGGCCGAAGGTACTGTTCTCGTACATAAATTACGGAACATGCACGCATCATTGTATTCCCTACATAGATATTGAGGGGAGTACATCTTAAATGATAGAGGATGATCAGGACAAAGCAGAGGCTATGGCGAACAATTTTGGGGCAGCTTTCACTACGGACCTTTTTCTAGACGAAGAACTAGATCCAAATACAAAGTCACATAACCGGCTGCTCACAGTGGACTTCAATCAAGACGATTTTACTGACAGCCCTTACCACTTTAGAAACGGAAAAATCAACAGGATCGGATAAACCACACTCGAAATCAGTGGATATTGTCTACATAGACA